TATACCGGCCGCCGTTCGGCCGCCGCGCGGGCCGCCGCGTAGACCAAATTCAAGTCAGGCTAACCCGTGTGCCCGGAACGCTCATTTAAATTAAAACATAAAAGCTAAACATATAGAGCGTATTTTACTATGACAGTTAGTCGCACGCGGTCGCTGCGCGGCGGCAACGCGGACTCCGCTCTTCGACCGCGCGGGGTGAGCGCGATGAAATCCGTGTCGAATAAATGCGCCCTAATGGTTTGACCTACTGCCTCTCAAGCAGAAGGTCGTGAATTCGAATACGGAGTCGCACCTCTGAGTTTCTCGGAATTTATGTGCGAAATTTAATTTGAAATTTATCATGAGCTTTTCGGTGAAGGAAAACATCGTGATGAAACCTACATGTTGAAGAAGGCTCACAACCCTCGGAAAACGTGTGAAGTCCCTACCCGCATTGGATACACGCTCGCTGCGCTCGCTCACCTCGTTCAGCTTTGTCATATACTAATCTAACCTAAACCCAGAGGAGGAGCTCGACAAACTAGGAAATGCAAACAAATTCGGCTAATTCCCCATTTAACCTAAACACCACTGAAATTATATTACATATTATACATTATACTCAGTGACTGTTATATCATTAGAGGATGAAAAAAAAAAAGGAAGTTATACCTGAAGTGTTTATATAAAATGAACATTATGCTATTGGTATATTAGATTGAAGTTGTTATATGAATCGTCTATTCTACGTAACAGTCGTGCTTTTCGGTGAAGGAAAATGTCGTGATGAAACGTACATGTTGAAGAAGGTTCACAACCCTCGGAAAACGTGTGATGTCCTAACCTGCATTGGGCCAGTGCGGTGGACTCACTTTCTATATCTATGGGTGGATTATGGCCTAAACCCTCGTTTGAAAGGAGACCCGTGCCCAGGAGTGGGACATATAATGGGTTGATAATGATTGAACGATGAAGTGCGGGGAATCCCTTCTACTTTCATACCCAATTAATAAAAGAAAAAGATGTTCCCCGTGCAAATGACTTTGATTTGACTGTTACGCTTAGATTTTTGGTGTCCGAAATATCCGGATACGCAAAGATGTCGTTTCCAGATAACATATTTGCCGGATATCCGGGTATCCGGATTGCAAACCCTACTCAGGGCTCAGTATTGGGACCGATTTTGTACACATTGTTTACATTGGGTCTACCAGAAACTAATGGAGTACTCACAGCGACATATGCAGACGATACCACATTACTTACCCGTGACATAAAACCCCAAGTTGAATCGCGTAAACTACAAGTTTAACTTGACAATCTAGACCTGTGTCTCTCAAAATGGAAGATCAAAGTTAGTGCTTCAAAATCTCAACATATAATGTTTACACTTAGAAAAGGAAACTGCCCTGATGTAAAAATGAACAACCAGACCTTGCCTCATGTTAATACTGTTAAGTATTTTGGAGTGTATCTGGACAGAAGACTAATATGGAAAGATCACATGAAAGCAAAACGGGATATATTGAACAACAAATTCAAATCTATGCTGTGGGTAATGGATAGAAAGTCAAGGTAATCAGTTGAAAATAAGCTATTGTTGTATAAGTCGGTATTAAAACCGATATGGATATATGCTTTGGAGTTGTGGGGATCAGTGTTGGGCGTTAATCAATTAAATTTCAATCAGAAATTCAATCAGACTAAAAAATCAATTCAATTGAAATCAATTGCAATTTATGATATATCAATATCGGTCTTAATACCGACTTATACAACAATAGCTTATTCTCAAAAATTAATTGGAATTAATTTAATTGAAATTAATTTTTTAAATTGTTCAAAGAAACAATTGAAACTAACAGTTAAAACCGAAACTACGAAATAAAAGTGTCATTATGAATGTGGCACTCATTTCTAAATCCAAGATGGCGTGCACGATTTTGAGTGAGTGAGTGGGTGGGTGAGGGGGTGGGTTAGGGGGTGAGTGTGTGGGTGGGTCACTCACCCACCCACTCACCCGCTAACTCACCCATATGCCCTATAAATTTATCATAATTATCAGTTTTAATTTTTAATCAAAAACATTGAAAATATTGAATTTTGATTAATTGTTAATTGTAGATATATGCGATTAACGATTGATTAAAGGTTAGTTGGGAGAACCGCAATTAACAATTAATCAATTGTTAATTTGCTGTTCTCGCAATTAATAATTTATTAATTGTTAATTGCTGTTTCGCAATTGACAACTAATTAATTGTCAATCTTTAATTGTCTGAACAATTAAATTTTTCCCAACACTGGTGGGGATCAGCCAGCACTTCTAATGTGGAAATTCTTCAGCGCTTCCAAAATGGTGTACTAAAGACTATAGTCCTATAACCTAGGTTTGTAAGAGCCCAGGAAATACATGACTATCTTGAAATGCCAACTATTAACAGGATATACTGGCACGTAAAGAAAAGTATAAGCCTCGATTATCACTACATACAAATGTATTGGCAAGATCTCTAGTTGACGAAAAGCATCTAGGTGGCTTGAATCGTTTTGAAAGAGTCAAGAATACAAGAATGTTAAATCAGTAGAACACTCAGCTATTTAATAAATAAGGAAGAAAAGAGTCACAGGACACTATTCCAAACGACATAAAACTATACGGATCTGTTTATGGTTCCAGGACTGATCGCAGATGGATACAAAAAAAATAAAATAAAGGCTGCTCTTGACTCTTGTGTGACTTTTGAGTCTTGTGTTAATTTTGTGTCAAAGCTAAATTTGGTGCATTTTGTTAAGTTTCCAGTAACCGTTCAGCCACGGAGGCAGTTAAATAAAGTAAAATCATACATTCTAATAATTTTCGAAAATAAAACCTAGAGAATTATTAAAATGCAGTCAATAAGCCATTTTCTTAACCTTATTTCAGTTTCATTCAATTGTGTTGGTTGTTTTTGAGGTCTTTTTTTAGCAAGAATATTTCTAATCATATTTCTTTCGGTGTCTGTGTGAGTGATCTTATCAAATATCATTACATATATAACGTAATAAGAATCTGCTAAATAATAAATTACTTACTCATCTGTATAATTTTCAGTACTTGGATTGATTTGATCAATGGATTTTCTTCGGACTTCTTTGGAATGCCGTATTGGCTTTGGACTTGAAGATGGCAATTTACTGAAAGAAGGTTGCCTTTTACATAAGTAGAAAACAAAATCACAAATAAAAATTATTAAAATTAAGGCATTATTTAGGTGTGCACAATACGTCGTCGATTTCTATGTCACTTTTCATCAGGCGAGATGGAGGTCCTTTTTGACCTCCAAGTCACCTGATGGACACCATACCTTTTTTTTTTATAAAAAAAAGTAAATCTACTGTTCATATATAAAATTTTAAAGAACTGTTCCCATAGAAACTTTTGCATTAATACAGGTAACTTTAAAAAACCACTTCAAAATCACTTCTCATTCATATGAGAAGGAGAATCCATCCCTGCATCATCTAAAATTTATCCTAATGAGCATTTACCTATGAGAAGTGTACTTAAGTACCTCATAACATTATCGACCACATCTCTCCCTCCAGCTCGTAGAGATGCCTCTGCCATCGTATGTGGCAGACCATATCGCCCCATAACTTCGCCACTTAGCGGACCTTGTGCGTGGTGAATACTCTTTCTTGCCGATGGTATGATACTAGCCCCCCCGTTCTGGAAATGATTTATTGAAATGAAAATTTTAAAAATAAAAACATTTAGTTCTATTTCATAGAAACAAAACATACCCCCGGTTCGTAATCGCTATTCATTCGCATAAAATAGTTTGACACAACGCAATTTTCATTGTCTTATATTTATTTTAAATTAGCTAGCACTGTGCTTAGGAAGCACAAACAACACTACGTCGTTTAAAATTATTAATAACCCAAGATTGTAAGCAATGTGATATGATCACTGATGATCACAAACTTCGTCAAAGACATAGATCATACATATAGACTTCACTTCACTTTTTATTTTTATGGCTCCATCAATATGAGAACTGATGATTTTGCCAATGTCACAGTTGAAAGAAAAAAAAACGAAACAAAAAAAAAATTTTCGCTAAGCTCTAATAGGACATTAACCGGTGTTGGACTACGGGAGTACTCAGTTGAGAATGTAAAACAAAACAGCAAAACAATATTTATAAATATATGTTATTTAAGTGGATAAATTTACATAGAGTAACAATATGGGGGGAGAACACTAAAGTTAAGAGGTTGTTTATGTTAACGGGGCGGGGGAATTTTGGAGAAAGTAAGTTATAAAGTGGAACAGCAATATTAGGACAATTGAAAAAAATGTGTTCCAAGGTACCGTCTTCTAGGCCGCACTCGCACAGAGAGTGATCTCGAACTCTGATTTTACGCAAAAATACAGGTGTGCAAACATGGCCTAAGCGCAAACGAATAATAGTGGAAGTGATGTTTTTAGGCAAATCGCGACGTTTAAAAAACCAGGGTTTAGTGGGTAGATTTGGTTGGAGATTACCATAGTGTCTACCAACAGTTTGTCGTGATTCCTGCCAAAGGACCGACCAGGAGGCTAGCATTTGGGGTTTAGTCATGGCGAGCAGATCTCTGGGAAAGCACTTACAGTATTTGCACACGCCAATTCTTGTCGCATCCTTTGCAAAGGCGTCTACTGCTTCGTTGCCACTGATCCCAGTGTGACCGGGAATCCAGGCCAGAGTTACCTCAATTCCCGCACAATGACATCGGTACAGAGCTTCCTTAATTTGGAGGGTGATGGAGAAATTGTCTTTGGAATGAAACGGTAGCTTAATAATGTCTTGGAGGCAACTTAGTGAGTCTGAGAAAACCAAACATTTATTAATTTTATGGGACTCAATATATAAAATGGCTTCGAGTATTGCAATTGCCTCTCCCGAAAAGACCGAATTCAGATAGGGGGATTTAAAACTGAGTACGACATTGAACTTGGGGAACCAAACCGCGGCTCCCAAGTCGCCATGTTCGTGTAATTTTGAAGCGTCGGTAAAAACAGTAGTCCAGTCGTGCCATTCTCTCTCAACTATATCGTTGAAGACTTGGTTTGCTCCAGGGGTATCTTTCATGATGCCAAAACTAAGATAGACTGTTGGGCGAAACGTTAAACATTTAAAATCAGTTTCAAACAACGGGTTCATATAATTTTGGTAAATAGGGAATGGGAGATTGGAAATTTTGTTAAAACTGTTGATAAGAAGGGGGGGTTTCTTGTGTGACCAATAATTGGAGGAAGGGATAATCTCCGACAAGGATTGCAATACGGGAAGCAAAGGGTGAGAAGAATATTGAAAGATCTTGAAGAGGAATCTATTAGCAAGGAATTGTCTACGTAGATGTAGAGGGGGCTCCAGACATTCGACTTGAAGAGCGTTTGTTGGTGAGGATTTCATGGTACCTGTGATTATTCTCAGGCATCTTGCCTGGATTCTGTCCATCTTAGCCAAGGCTATTTTGTTGCATGGTTCCAGAAGGAAGCCGCCATAATCAAAATGACTTCTAATGATTGCGTTGTACAGGAGCTTTTGGTTATACGGATGTGATCCCCAACGAACACCAGAAAGTGCACGTAGGACATTTATGCTTTTTTCAGCTTTTTGACAAATATAGTTGAGGTGATGGATGCCAGATAATTTTGAGTCCAGAATAATGCCTAAAAATTTTACTTTTTCCCTCAGTTCTATGATTTCCCCATTAACATGTATTTCAGTTTCAGGGAGGCGTCTCTTGCGGGAAAAAACGACAGCTGTGCTTTTGTTAGCTGAAAGAGAGAGGCCGTGATCGGTAAGCCAAGAGTCTAGGTAAAAAAGGGCAGAGTTGAGGCGTCTTTCAGTATCTGAAAAAGATTTGGAACAAGCGTACAGGGCGATATCGTCTGCATATTGCAAGATTTTGCAGAAGCAATTGACTGAAGTGCCGAGGTCAGACGTGTACAAGCTGAAAAGGAGAGGGCTAAGAACGGAACCTTGAGGCAAGCCGTTCCAGACCATACGGGAGGGGGTTGTGGAACCGTTAACACGCACTGCGATAGAGCGACCCATAAACATGTTGTAAATGACATTGATCATCTTCACAGGAATACACAGATTGAGCATCTTGCGGTATGGCTCGCGGAGAACAGCCACTGTTCATTTTTGATAACCCGGGTCGGTCATGACCCATGCGTAGATCGGGTCCAATGATTCGATCATATTATGTTCGATATTTTAGCGGGTCACCCGTACCTCATGATACTTCCACATGGCGTTTAAAAGTGTCAAATTATACAATTAGCTTTTATTCTTTCCTGCTGATGGGTAATGTGTCCATAGTTAACTGCGTTATTGACAAACCACACGTAGGACACTAAAATTTCCTTCTAGGAAAACTAACGGTGTTATATAACAAAAATACAAAGCAAAAAACTTATGAGCATTCAAAATTACTAATATATTATTCATTAATTAGCCAGTGCACTTGGTTGCACCATCGATCAAACGCGGGCTAAATACAACCAACCCCTGGGCCTGCAAGGGGCGCGTGGGGTGTTGGTGGGTCATGCGAATGACGCGATTCGCGGTTCGCGCCGCGCGCGCATCGGGCACTGCGACTCGGAGTACCTACTTTTTTTAATAAAATAAGCGTAACGCAGTTAAATAGTTTTATTCAACTGCATACCCCTTGTAAGTGATAGGGCTCTAGTTCCCACTATATGGTCCTTCGAGAAAAAAAAAATCGAACGAGCGTTCTTAAGCGAAGAAAGAAAACCATCATCAAGGAAGTTTCTTCAATTGAAACTAACAACCAAAAACCAACAACCAACAACATAGTGCGCCGTTCCACCCGTCCACAGTCAAGAGAAGCTCTTCTATTGCAGCTCTTACTGTCTGCAACGCTTGGGCACCAGGACAAGCCTTCCCTCCTTCCAGCATCTCGGGAACAACCCCGTCCTCAAGCAGTCATCCATGAGATGCTTGAGGCGGGTCCCGAGACGCTTCAGGGCAATGCGAAGGACTCGTCCCGGTAGCCCGTCCGGGCCGGGCACCTTCTTCCGCCCCCGCAGCCGTCCCACCGCCCACTCCAACTCCCCCTCGGTGATTTTCGGGGAGGGGGGTCCTCAGTCTGCCCCCCGTCTGCTCTGGGGGGCACCATGGTCGGTGGGGTGAAGGGCTGCGGTTCGGGGAAGAGGCCCTCCACCACCCGGTTGAGGAGATCGAGCTCCAGTGACTCCATGGGAGATGCGCCGTACATTTTGTTGCGCACAACTTTGTACGGCCTCCCCCATGGGTCCGCGTCCAGGATGGCCGAGAACTCCTCTTTCGCAGAGTCCTTGGCCCGCCCTATCGCGACCATCATGGCCTGTCTCGCGCCCTGAAGGGCGCTGTGGAGCTCTCCTCTATCGAGTAGCTCGAGTAGCCGACGTCAAGACGAAGAAAGGCACCATCCGTCGGGCTTATAACATGCTGTGTCCGCTCCCGATCAAGTCATTTGAACCTGAATGTTGGGGGGTCACGCGAATGACGCGATTCGCGATTCGCGCCGCGCGCGCTTCGGGCACTGCGACGACGACGGCGGAACGAATTTAGCGCGCGAGTACCTACTTTTTTTAATATACAAAGTGTAATGAAGTTCGCTACTTTTATTCAACTGGATACCCCTTGTAAGTGATAGGGCTCTAGTTCCCACTAGCACTTTTAAATAAACACAACATACCGAAAAACACATTAAAGTTACAAAATGACTATGTAATATTATCTCGTTATATATATTAATGAATTAATATTATATATAATATAATATTACTATATAATATAATATTAATTCATTATTATCTGTGAATGTATATCATACCTTATGATTTTATTATTTTTTAATTTTTATTCAATTTTACTTATTAATTACTCATTTTTCGCCGACTATTGTTTGACTAGTTTAGTTATTGTTACTCATTTAATTGCAAACAGAATGTATCTTTTATGTTTATATAAATTGGAGGCTTATTGGTCCATGGTCTTATATTTTCCATGATTCGCTTGAGACGAATTACGTGTGTTTTTTTGGTCTCGACTGGCGACATATTACCCAATTAAGGTTCTACATTTTACATGGGAAATACGTGCAACTATCGTATTCTTACATTGTTCAATTTATTCCAAATAAGAACTTCTCCATTAGCCTGCTAAATGCAGGATCTCTCGGCACACGCCATGACGAATTCTATGAGGTCATGAGCCGCCACGCAGCTGATATTGTGGCTATAAACGAAACTTGGCTTGCGGCGGGTGAGGAGGGGCGTGTGCCGTCTGTCCCGGATTACAAGCTTAGGCATATCCCACGGCCGCGTAATGTACGACGTGGAGTGGGTGGCGGAGTAGCCTTTTATATGAAACGTGGTATTAACGCACGACTCTTGTCACACCCACCCGCGTCCTCAGCCGTGGAACAGATGTGGCTCAGCGTAACATTGAATGCCGTCAAACTTGCTACAGGAACTGCTTACCGTCCGCAGTGGTTGTCCTTGGATACTTTCATTGACGCGCTTACGGAATCTGTCGCAGCCTTTTCGTTGTTCGATCATGTGGTGCTAGTTGATGATTTTAATGTGGACTTACTGAACACTAAAGACACTTCTACAAAAAAGGTCACAGACTTTTTACACTATTTAAAGCTTGAGCAATATGTCAAAAAGCCAACACACTTTACTGATCACAGTGAAACATTGATTGACGTTATGTGCTCGACCACGAATATTACCAATCTGTGTATTGACTATGTGCCGGACCTTAGCGGTCACGCATTTGTATCGGGTAAAATTAATGTAAGAAAACCAAAAACACCTCCGAAATGTTTTGTTCACCGCCCCCTCACTAATATTGATATAGTTTCGTTCAATTCAGATGTGAATGCAATTAATTGGGAACGGTTACTGTCAAATAATTTGAATGACTCCGTTCATAACTTTAATGCCTACATACATTGACTTTAAGTCAATGCCTACATATCTCATTTATTTAACCGGTCACATCCGGCCGGACAATCTTTCTCTTAGGAGCATAACTCCTAAGAGAAAGATTGTTGTTAGGGAAGGGATGCTCCCATGGTTTACATATAACGTTAGAGAGATGATGAGATTGCGTGACGACGCTCATGAGATGTACCGAAGTACTGGGGAGGATTCACACAAAACTTACTACAAAGATCTCAAAAAACTGGTCATTACTGCGATCAGTACTGAGAAAGCAATGTTTTTCCAACAGTGTATTGTCTCCAATTCTCATAAACCGCGCGAGCTCTGGAAGAATATAAAAAGTAATGTGGCTGACTTCAAAGCTAAAGAGTGTGACATCCCTCCACATTTGAAAGACCCAGACAAAATAAACAAACATTTTCTTGGTTTGTCGACCAGTACTATTGACTTAGGTTACATGTCATATTTTTCCTCTCACAGGCATGGTTCCAGTGTTTTTAAGCTCTGTGCAATTTCGGAACAGATTGTGTCAAAGGCAATTTTGTCAATAAAAAGTAATGCCAGTGGTGTGGACGATATCTCTCGCGACATGATATTGCTTACCCTGCCACGAACTTTGAACTTCATTACATCATTGGTTAATCAATCCATCGAAACCTGCGAATTCCCTGAGTTATGGAAGATGGCAATCGTCAGACCCATTCCAAAAATCAAGAATCCATCACACTTCAAGTACTTGCGTCCAATTAGCATTCTACCATATATGTCCAAAATCATCGAAAAGATCGTGTGTTGGCAATTAACGGAGTATCTTGAAGCCAACGGTATCTTGCCATCAAAACAGTCGGGTTTCAGAAAGGGTCGCAGCACCACCACTGCCCTTCTGGATGTGGTAGATGACGTCTTGGCTGCGCAGGATGTTGGGCAGGGATCAATTCTCGCCTTGTTGGATTTTTCCCGTGTATTTGACACCGTGGACATCCAACTTCTACTGTCTAAACTCGTTTTCTATGGATTTGACTGTAACACCGTTAAGTGGTTTTATAACTACCTCAATGGTCGAACTCAGAGAGTAGAAGTGCGCGATGATGATGGGTCTTCTAGGCTTTCGGAGGCCGCCGCCGTTGCTGGAGGAGTCCCTCATGGATCGATTCTCGGGCCTATTCTTTTCATTCTCTACACCGCAGATATTGTGAATAGTGTCAGTTGTAATTGGTGCCACCTGTACGCCGACGACCTACAGATTTATGTCTTTTTTGAACCAATACGCGGTCCGCGATTGACAAATTAAACGAGGATCTCTCCAGAGTTGCCCAATGGTCAGAGTTAAACAACCTTGTACTGAATCCGTGCAAGTCAAAGTTTGTAATATTTGGTACAAGACAACAAATTGAAAAAATCACTTCCAATGAAGCACGGGTGATGATATCGGGTAACTCTGTGGGCCGAGTCGTGGTGGCGAAAAATTTGGGTGTTCTTATGGACGATTCCCTTCACTTTGAAGAACACATCCTTGAAATAGTACGAAATTGTTTTTATCGTTTGAAAGTGTTGTACCGCGTGAGAAAATACATTAATGTCGATATGCGCATAAAGCTATGCGACACGTTAATTATTTCTAAGCTGAATTACGCTGACACAGTATTCGGCGGATGCTTACTTGCCCGCACGAGAAATCTTATACAGCGTTTGCAGAATGCGTGTATTCGGTACCTACCTATTGTTTCCCTGTTCCACGATGGGCGCATGTCAGCCCTTTTCTGAACAATGTGAGTTTACTGAAGATGGAGGCCCGTCGTCATTTGCATTTTGCGGGACTCTTGTTTGGAATTATTAAGACCGGGCAACCACAATACTTGTATGAGAAGCTTAGATTCTCGTCCATGCGCATCAGACACGCTTCTCGACTTGTATGCCTTCGACACAGAACAGCGAGCTTTCGGGGTAGCTTTCGGCTATGCTGCCTCGAAGTGCTGGAATAATCTGCCACCGCCTATAAAAAATGGTTCGTCATTATTTATTTTTAAAAAACCATTCAAGGCATATTTACTTAACGCCCAGCAATCTCCAGAGTAGCTGTTTATGTGTCGAGTTAGCATGTTAGCAGGTTAAGTTATAATTTATTTTTCAGTTAATTGTTATTACTGTAATTATGATTGTAAGTTAGTTAAGAGCAATAAATTTAATATTTTATACATTTTAATATATATAATTTGATACAATTTAAAGTTTGGATAAATATAACATACAGAGAAAAAAAAATTTTGTTAATTTTAATTTTCAATTTCTATATTTGTGACGTCCACTGTGTTCCGTGCTGCACGAATCATTGCCGAATCCACTGAAAATCAGCGTCGTACCACACTTTCAGTGAGACGGCAATAGCTGAGTGGATGACGGATTCAGTGGCTGCACAGCACACATCCTGTCTCCCTTATCTTTCTTTCTTCTATTTTTTATGTTTTAGTTTTGTTTGTAAATTGTATGTGTGCTGTGCTTTACATTGAATAAATAATTTCTATTTCTATTTATATTTCTATAATGGACACTACGCCACGGGGCAATTAGGATGAATGATTGACAGACTCATTGATCCGTTGACCCGTGACCCGTTGACTTGTTGATCGATTGCTTGATTGCTCGATCGAACGAAGGTTCTATCGAACAAATGTTCGACCCAAATGAAGAGTGGACAGGCGAACCGCGTCGTGAGCCGGGACTTCAAGTGAGAGTGAATGAGACAACAATAATAATGTAAATCGTTGAATAATCTTTAAAATTATATAGATAAAGTCGAATATTGCACGCGTGATCCATGAAACTCTAAAATGATCGGGTTATTTAGAAGCTAGTTCCGGGTTATCGGGTCACAGGTGCTGTTAGACACATATATTAAACTATAGTTCGCGCGCTTGACTAAGATGGACACCAAAGTTGCTGTTGCTGCTGCGGGACTACTTTGCGCTTTGGTGATTTACAATTATGCTTTATAAAGAAAACAAGTTATTGAAAGGAAATGCTAGAACAATCTAAAAATGTTCGTTCTAGTTCATTTGTCCAATCCAATTCAAATCATCAACAATGAAAATAGAAAACAACCGTCTGCGGCGCTTTACTTATCGGCAACTGCATACTGATTTTGATTCAAATCGAATCGAACCGATCGGGTAGTCACGAAATCAGACGGGTTTCCGAGCGAGAAGATGCACTTCATTTTCCTACTACATCTTTCTAATTTGTTGAGTTAAATCCCTAGACTATCCATCCTCTAAGGTTAAATCAACTATTGTCACGGGACAAAATACCGACATCAATATCGGGAACGAGCCACGAACGCGGCGCGATGCCGCGAAGAATAATGCGAATGGGATCGACACTCATGCTTTGAGTAGTCACATTTTGAACTGAAATCTAGCACCTCTACCCTACTGATGCCTCAATGAGAGGAGATTTATTTGTAGTTTTGAATAGAAAATGCTTCCAAACATTTTACCATAAATTTTCGTAGTTTTTTGTTTTTATAGGTAATAGGTACACACATATTAAATACTTTCCACAATTACATTTATTTTACTAAATAAACAAACAATCTATATTCACGAAAATTTTGACAAACACTTGATAATAACACAATTAAAAAAGGTACATTATTATAAATTAAACTAAAACGAAAGTTGAAAATACTAAAACAGGGTAAAATACAATAAAAATGTTATGTGGACTCTCCAACTGATTTGCCGAACCAGGGGATATTTGCTCCAACATTCGACGTTTTGCGACTACTGGCGTATGTGGATATGTTGATAAAGATTCCTCAGTTAAGGTTTCTTCATTCTTTCTTATTCTTTCGTCGAGCCATGCCTTAAATGTGAAGGTTGGAACTATATCAGCCATTTTTTTATTGATTGCGTATGTAGAAGTCATTTCTTTAGTGCATTCTTCTTGACCTTGGGATACAATCCCAATTAATTCATTGTCGTATACTACTGCACTGCCAGTATCTCTGAAACATGTAGGAACTTTCGTGTCGATGCAATCAAAGTAGGCTTTCAAGATTTCTCCACCTTCCATTGGTGACCTAAGTTCCATGCCAATGTACTGCATTTGTTTCGGGGCGCCAATGTCAGTGTTAAGACCGTAACCAACAGCTTCCAAATCCATTATGTTGCGTATATTAGTAAAGTTGCTAAGACGAATTTTAGAACAAATAGTGCTGTTATGTTTCTCAGTATAAATTACTCCAATATCTTTAATTGATTCGACACCCCTAAAAGTAGGGAATTTTTCCGATTTGATGACATGTAGCATAGTTGTAGTATCATCAAGTTTATCTTTAGTCGCATTTAGGAGCACATAGCTCACAGGCATCGCGGTGCATTTGGCAGTAGTCAGAATTAATCCATTTGAGACTACGACTCCTGAGCACAAGTAATCATTTTGTTGTGACATTATCATTGCCATGAAGGGAAATTGTTTGTATGTGGCAGTCTTTATTTCATGCAATTGGCTATTTTGCCTCCTAGTGCACGTCAGGTTTGCATCATTTTCTACAGGAATATCAAGAGATTCATCCTTAGCTTCATCGTTAATATCACCGGTGTCATCTCTATTATCATCAATGCTCTTCTTCACGTTTTCACCGACGCAGACACTGACTACACCGAACAGAATTACTATGATGGGAAGAAAATCAAGTTTATTCTTCATTGTTATAAAGTTGTTAAAAATAAAATACAATTTTTTATCTCAGAAGGAAAAGAAGAAAATACTGTTCTATTTTCGCTTCTTTCATATTTCGAGAATTTTTCATTTTTGTCACACTTCTATATGGCCAGTAAATTCATCAGTTCATTGTTGAGACTTTTTGTTTTAAAAATATAAAAAGGCTGAATAAAGAGCTCAGGCGAGAGTGTTGCCATTGGTACCGTGGGATTAAAATGATAAAATTTCTAACTCAGGCTTTTGTGAATCGATTTTGACGATTATTTTTTTGTTATAAAGAGGGTACCTCAGTATTGTGATTGGGCCCATTTAAATCTAAAGAAAATATTCCACCTATAGGGGTGGCAAACTAGGAGATGACACTTCCCGGTAAGTAACCGATTTCCCGATCTCCATGAAACTTGGCAATAGATGTGGTATTATCTACGAACTTTTGAGGTCGACCTTTTTAATAAAAAAATTTTATTAGTTAGTCCACTTCTTTTGTTCACCACCAACTCCAACTTTTTGCTCAGAGTCAAGAGTACCTACGTCAAGCTTGACACTTAAGATTGAAATAAAATTTAACTCTGAAGTTCAGAGAGAGGATGGGAAAAAGTTGTCTAAGGCAGAAGGGATAACAACGGTCCAAAGTTCAAATTGTCAAGCTTAATGACAAGTATTTTTGATACTTGAGATTTAATTAAAGTGCCGCTTGCGATATGAACGGCGTAAAGTCCAAAGTGTCAAGGTGAATGTGCCCTCGACTGCACGAGTTTTAATTGATTTGCTTTGTTAATGCTTTTATTATTTTCTGCTAGTATGACATGGAAGGCGTGATTTTCCATAATAATTTCACTTACGCAATCCTAAGTAAAGCCGACCACGTGATATTGGTATACTTAATAGTACAGCAGTGTTGAGCAAAATTGAATCGTTCTGGCAATTAAAGATTGGCAATTAATTAACTGTCAATTGCGAAACAGCAATTAACAAATAATTAATTTTCAATCTTTGCAATGTTTTTGATTAACTATTAACAATTAAAGTGAGTTAGGGGTGGTTTAAGGGGTGAGTTAGGGTTTGGATTGGGGCTTAGGGGTGAGTTAGAAGGTGGGCTAGGGTTGAGTTAGGGTGTGGGTTAGGGGTGGATTACGGGGTGGGTCAGCGTTTGGGTTAGGGGGTGGGTTAGGGGTGGTTTAGGGGGTGGGTCAGGTGCTGGGTCAGGGATTGGGCCAGGGGGTGGGTCAGGGGGTGAGTCACGAGTTGGGTTAGGAGGTGGGTTAGGAGGTGAGTTAGGGGGTGGGTTAGGGGGTGGGTTAGGGGTGGATTAGGGGTGGGTTAAGGGGTGGGATAGGTGGTCGGTTAGGGGGTGGGTGAGGTGGTGGGTGAGTGGGTTTGAGTGGGTGGGTGAGCGGGTGAGTGGGTGGGTGAGTAGGTGGGTGAGAGGGTGTGCAGGTGGGTTGGGTTAGGGGGTGCGTCACTCACCCCTGACTGCCCCCCAACCGGCCCCCCAACCGGCGATGCAATTGATTTCAATTGAATTGATTTTTGAATCTGATTAAAATTTAATTGATTAACGCCCAATACTGCTATTAAGGTACTTTTTCACTGGTGAAATTTAAATTCTCTCCTAGCGCATCTTCGTGGAAACGATCTGGATTGACGAGGACGAGCGAAGCCAAAATTGAAATATTTGTTGATGCAATGTTGAACCGTATTTCTGCCTACGTAGAGAATTTATACTCTACATAATAGAAACACGATTTCGCGCGTGAGCTTGTGAATACCCGCAAGATTTCGCGCGAGCTCGTGATGGCTATTAATGCCAATCGTGAGATTGCGTGCCACGTACGATATGAGATTTATAAAAAAGACGGCTTCATCAGATGCATTCTTTCGTTAACTTGTTTAATAATAATAATTTACGGGACATGTTATTTCAGCTGCGTCTTTATTGCTAGACGAACCGAACAGCACTGAATCTTCACTATCCACAACCACAGCTAGAGTAAGGGTGAGGACGCGATGGCAATTGTTTTGCGAGATTTTGAGATTTTTTTTCAATTCTCGTCTCGTCTCGCCTCACTGGTGGAAAAACCACCTTTTTTGTTACTGATTGGTAAGTGATAATGATAATAGTGATAATTTCTTTTAGTTTATTATATAAAAGTTATGAGGATGTCGCCAATGTCAAGTCATGCACAAGAAAACTTATCATAATATGTTTTTAAGTAAAAGTTACATCTCTAGTACCTACATAAACGTCTTGTTTGTAACTAGAGATGACAATAGCGGCTCAGATCATTATGGTCTGTGATAACGGCTTTTTATCAATAATGAATTATGCTGATTATAAACTGTTATCCGTTATCATGTTATTCTGTTGTTATGGAGTTTTGTATACAACATGACAATTATAGTGAAGGAATATTGTATACAGTGTTGCGAGACTTTTGTAGCTTTGATCTTCTGGTATAATTATTAACTTTTGTTTTTAAGGCAATTTTCGTAACTTTTGAGGACGTTGAGATTTCTAAATTTATATTTGTATAAACTATATTTGTTATTGTGCATTCTAAGTAGTTTACGAACGCACCCAAATTAGACAATAAACTAACTCAGAGACGGTAGAAAGAAAATGAAATCAAGCAATTACAGCTTGAGTTCTCTTGAGAGTACTTACTTTTTTACAAAGTGACAGGTTGAACGAGATAAATATTTAAAGAGGTGAATGAGTAGCTTATACTCATTTTGTTTTATTTAATATCAAGAGACGAGACGTTCAACTCGTGCGCCTGATGGTAAGATACACTCCTGTCCATAACAGTTGCAGTGCCACTCAGAGCTTCTTAAGTCGCAAAGATCTGAGGTGCACTGCCACTGCGTCCATCACCCTGAGACATAAGTTGACAAGTTCCATGTGTCTGTAATTTCCCTACCACCCATTGCTGTTATAGGTAAGGTGGCAGTACTTCCTTGAACGAACTCTTTCACAAGGAGTTCTACTGCAACTAAAACCCATACCGAATATGTAAAAAAAAAAATATTTATTATAGGAAATTTGATTTATTTTTAAATATTACTCTTTAAGTAGGAAGGCTTGACACGCGGGAGTTCAATTTCCTACCGCTCAGCTGTTCTTTTTCATAGAGTAACACAAATGAAGAGTGTATTAGTATTTGTAAAATGGCACGAAATTTTTTTTGTTTTGTGTAGAGGCGATTCTTTTTACATAACGGCCGCGTCAGTGCGCGCATCACTATATCTTTCTAATTTGAGGGGTAAACGATAGCGATGGCGTGCAAACGGCCGAGTCAACGGTGAATCGTTTCAAAGGGGGCATTCATTATCCTGCATTGCAGTCCGCATTGCGAGAAATTATATGTGGGCCATACGCAGGATAGTGTGTGAGCAGTCTCCTGCCTGTGCGGCGGGCTGCCATACAGGTACTGAATGAGCGGTTTTAATGCGACAACTATGGCTAAACACGATTGCATCAAGATAAAGACGATTTCGCGTTAGTCCCTACAGGTTACTTTGGTTACTCCCCATTTACTCCCTAAAGAAACGAACTTGTAAAATGTAATTTTTGCAGCAAAACTGTAACTTTTCAGAAAACGGAGTATAATTTTATTTTCGACTCAAAGGCCCTGGCAACACTGATGGTGTAACATACAATGCTCAGATTACAAAACATAAAAGGATTTGTTTTGTAATTTGAGTGAGCTGTTATGGTTCAATAGCGGACAATGGCGTTAACGCGAAATGAAAACAAATCTGTTACTGTTATAATTTTGTTGTTGTTGTTGACTTTAATTATTAACAAAATGGTTCTTTCGGGACTAGTTTATATTTAAATTGATTGATATTAGCTGCTTATCGATATCAAACATTAAAATTGACAATGATCCATTTAAATATAGCACAAAATTGTACTTTCAAATATGTGACTTCTAACTTTAATATAATAGATAATAATAAAATATAAAATGAGAAACAGAACTTTACTTTGTATTCAAGGAGAATACAAAATAAAGTTCTGAAAGATTATAAATGTAGATATGCAAATCGTAGCATCATCAAATCTAATGAGCAGCGCCATTTCCCTCTCACAACTATAATTGTATACTTGCTAGCTCGCACGAGAGACGCAACAACAGAATATAACAACAGCAGTTTAAATAGTAGTTCGATAATGACTATATATTGCGTAAGAGTTAATGCATTACAATAACGATCACATCTATAGGGGGTCTACTCTCGTTGTTCGTCCGACATCCGTCCGAAACAATTACTGCCAAATAAGCAATAGTTGACCAATGAAAAGACGCGTGATGCGAATGAAGCTTCATTCTTGATACTTGTCTTTTAATTTTATCGAATATTACTTATTTGACAGTAATTGTTTCGGACGGAGAACGAGAGTAGTAGACCCCCTATTTGTAGCTGTCAACGTCAGCCGTCATCAGCAAATTTTAATCAAATGGTTTCATTCTTTTTGGTAGTCGTGGTAACTTTCTTCTCCTCAATTTTATGTTGTTGTCTGTTGTTAATACCTAAGACATCAAGCTAATTTACTTGTGAGAATGTCAAAGAAACGGGGTAGTAAAAAGAATCAGGACCTTGATGATTTTGAAGAAAAAAAGATGGATAACCATGACATAACCTCAAAGAAAGGAAAAGGCAAGAAGAAAGGCAAGGGTGATGACGGGAGCGATGAAGAGAAGGAGACTCCTGTGAAAGTGCACATGTCTGATGAGGAGGACTTGGCCAAGCCTGCCCCTAAGAAATCGCAGAAGAAAGGTGAGTAATCTACTAATTACGCTCACTTGTGGAATCAGCTGATCAGTTGACATTAGTTACATGACTTGTGTGATACGTATTCAAAAAGTAGTTTGGTGGCTATTGTATTAAATCAAATCCACATGAAAGTTTTTTTATGATACTAAGTGACGGGACGAACCTGTCCTCCTCCTGTCCATAGTAGTTTGCAGTGCCAGCTAGAGCTTGAAATCGCAAGGATCTTGGTGGCACTGCCACTGCGCCTGTGACCCTGAGACAGAAGTTAAATAAAATAAATAATAATGCATACACTCAACATAGCCCCGCACTAGAGAAACCCTGTTTCGCGGGTGCCATGGACGCACACATAGACAACCACAAATTACACCCAAACTCACAAGAGAAATAACTATAGGCCATACAAATATTTCTCCCGGCCTGGGAATCGAACCTGGGACCTCTGCGTGCCAGTGCCAATGTTTAGCGTTCGGCCACAGAGGCAGTTAAAGTGTCCCATTTGCCTGTAATTTCACCAGACATAAAGTGTAGGCCACAAATTAATGTAATAAGGTTAACATAATTTTTTTGTGCTATTAATTTACTGGCATTGTTCTGTTTTGTAGGTAAAAATCAGAAGAAAGGTGATGTATCAGATGAAGACCTAGACGACAGCAAGTCCACTTTTAGCAATGCTACCAGCACTGCCTCAAAATCTACTGTCAAGGCTAGCAAGAAGAAAAAGGGTAATTATCATTAATTTAATTATTAATTATCATCTGTAAAAAAAATAGTTATCATTTATATTTAAGTCTGTTGTACAAATTAGTGGTGTGTAAGGAGTGTACACACTTATTTTAAGGACTAAGCAAGTATGTGAAAGTATGCTATGATTGTATAATACAAATGGTTCTATATATTTCATCAGTCCTCAAATTATACTTGCACTATGCTCTTTACCTTCATTAAAGTTCATACATATTAGCGGCCATCAAGTTTATTTCTTATATTGTAATCAGTACAAGTATCAATCGGCAGTAATCAATGTTGTATCACCAAAGATGTATGAAAGGAGATCCATATGACATCCGCACCCCTCATGGAAGAACGACATCAGTGGAGTTACATGAAAAATGTTTATTGCTCCATTAGTTACAGAAAAATATAACCCAATCGACTAATATTGTAGATAGGGTTACAAGAATTGGAGGGGATGTGGGTTACATTTTTCTGTATCTAATGGAGCAATAAACATTTTTTACTTAATTCCACTTAAGCCATTCTTCCATGAGGGGTGCGATTTAATTCCTTTCCAGCATGACTGGCTTGCACTGGGTAATAAACGGCGAGTATGTTGCGCCGATTGGCAAATATTTTCACTATGATGGCAAGCATTGTAGTGTATGCCATCAATGCGATAAGAAGAAGAAGAATGTTGATCAAAGTTTGCTAAGTTATTGTCATTCATGTATTTTTTTTTTGCAGGAAAGGGAAAGAAAGATGATGAATGGTCAGATGAGGACAGCGATATTGAACTTAAGGAAGTATCAGAGGATGAAATTGCCAAACCTGTTTCTAAAAAGAAGAGTAAGATTAGTTTACGCTAATATTTTGCTGACATAGATTCTTAAATCAATTAGAGTGAAGGAGTAATATTTCAAATAGTGTAATTCAATTCATCACAGTAGTAATATTTGAGTTGGGGGACATTATCACAATAAAAGTTGACATCCACCATAAAAATAGGAAGCAGTCAATCAGAAGCACTTATATTGATCCCATTACATAACTGTAGCATCACCCACTTTAATTATGATTTTACAGTTTAACTGACAAATAATATTATGGCCTATATTAATTACATTGTAGCAAAAAATAAAAAGAAAAGTATAGCAGTGGAATCTGATAACGAGGAAGACCATGAGGAGCATGGCGATGCTAAATCTGTGGTGAGCAATGTGTCCAGTAATACGACCAAACCAGCAGTCAAGTCTAAGAACAGGAAAAGTAAGTTTTCAAATGGATGAAACCATAAAAATTGTAGTAAATTCATGAATGTTTAGGGTTAAATAAAATTAATAATATAATAATAATAATAACGCACACACTCAACATAGCCCCGCACTAGGGAAACCCTGTGTCGCGGGTGCCATGGACACACACATAGACAACCACAAATTACACCCAAACTCACGAGAGAAATAAATGTAGGCCATACAAATATTTCTCCCGGCCCGGGAATCGAACCCGGGGACATCTGCGTGGCAGTCTGGTATGGTAACCGTTCGGCCACGAGGGCAGTTGTATACTTTTATATACAATTATATACTTATTTCTGTGACCACTATGTAAGATATATGTGTTACGAACTATGAAGGCAGCACAGTGATGAGCAGCCCTTCTGATCAGTCTGTCCGACAATGTGCTTTGAAATCCATGCACATACTCTTGTTACACCTCGCGTTTTATGATGATCCGGGAACAATATTTTGCAATGCTTGTTTCTGAAGAAAGTGCAACAAAAATTGCTCTGTCAGCACGGATATCCTTGCGCTTTCTTCAGAATGCAAAAATGGACATTAACCATCAAGTATTTTACATTTGATTGCAAAATTACATTTTTACCTCAAATTCCCTGTGTATACAGGGTAAACTAAAAATTATTGTCTTGTACTTTATGTTGGGGATAAAATCTTGTGTTTTCTGGATGTACAGCATTCTGCTATTACTAATTTTGTTTCTTTTGTGTCCATGAAAGAACTAGTTTATCAGTGTCACATGTATATCATTATTTGTAACTTTTGGTAGATAATATTTCGAAATATAATAGCTTATAGGAAATGAAACTATTTTTCCGGATTTAAATCGCGTATATTTGTTTTTTCAAACAAACCGACGTTTCGTCGCGTAAACAAGTCTGCAGTCTGCGAGCATGTCATGGATAAACCTACACATTCAATGAAGTTTGACAAACCCCAGGTCCTTGCAAAAGAAGTCCGTTATCTGCCCAGGATGCTGCGAGAGGCCATTGAAATTAAAAAACATCCTAATTTCAACAGGGAAGATGGTTTCCCCGTACCACCAGTTTGGGATCCAGTATTTCCTCTCATGAAAAATCCCAAACAGACATAAGACTGCAGTACTAATTAATATGTTTTAGTTTATTCTAATTTCTATTAATAATTAATAATAAATTAAACTTAATAAAAATTCATTCAATAAAATAATTTGTAAAACTTAATGTAGCGTAAATTGGAATGTTTTCTTTGTAAAATTAAAAATAAGGTATTTAATTAATAACTATTGTAACTATAGTGAAAAAATAGGGTGGTTTGCATTAATATTAGACATAACTGGTTGAAGACTGTACCACCTCAGTCAACCGTGACCATGGGACCTGTAAAGGGCCCGAAACGTCGGTTTGTTTGAAAAAACAAATATAAGCGATTTAAATCCGGAAAAATAGTTTCATTTCCTATGTGTAACAATCGCGAAAACCTAAGAACTCGATATATAATAGCTTACTTTTCTATTTTATTTTTTTATTTATATTTAATTTATTATTTTTGTATAAAATATACTGAAAAATGGACATAGAATTTTTAGGAAATAAAGAAAATATAATTTAGATTGGGACCTAAGGTAAGGAATATGTCATTTAAAATCTGTGCAATGTACATTTTTAGGCAAAGGCAAGAAGGAGGACTGGCCTGATGAAGAAAGTGATAAGGAACTAATAATGGAGAGAGAATCTTTATCTGAGGATGAATTGGCTCTTGTAGTGAAAAGCAAAAGTAAGTTGTTTCAATATGTCTTCTAGGGCTACAGTGATGGTGTAGAAATTAACCAGTGAACCTTAATATTATATCTATATACAAGTGCACAGTCAACTTGTTTGAGAATAAATTATTTTGAAAGTAATTTAGGTGAAATTATACCTGGAGAAAAAGATGAAAACCTAAGCCAAAAACCATAGTTAAGAAATTTATCTATGAGCTTAAACCATGTTAGCTGGTTTGTCATGCCACCTTCCCTTGGCCCTATCTATCATATTGGTTATATGGGCCGAGGTTTAGTAGGTTCAAGTTGTATTTGCTTGGGCTTCTTTCTAGCATACACTTTCTGACTCTTTATAATATCTTAAATTTCTCGTTAATAGCTTCCCACTTTCTCATTAGTGGTCTTCAGTGTTAGCCACCAGCGAGTTTGCCGTGTCAATTATGATAGCGTTAAGTAACTTAAACAGTGTTGTTGGAATTGTTTGTATTTTGATTGATTCTCAGCTACATGTTTCATTCGCCATTTGCCAGTTTTATCAGGGTAGGCTTATTGTTATTACTAGAATTTTGGTAGCTCTGATAGTTTTCACCTCCATGAGGGGACCTTGCCGGAGAAAGCTCAATAGAAATTTATGATGTCCATCAGAGCGCTACAGTGGAAAGGAGATGCAAAACCGTTTTATCTAGTTGTAGCAGAGTGTCACTACTCTCAGGAAGTTTGAGGTTGGACATGTGCTTGTACAAACCACAGAGTCCCGCGAGAGGCATAGTTAGTATTCGGAAGTTATGCTTGCCTAACGACTGGGCCTTTTTTATAATTTTAAGTGACGGCTGACTGTCCATAACAGTTGCAGTGCTACTCACAGCTTTAAATAGCAAAGGTCTGAGGGGCACTGCCACTGCACCAGTCACCCTGAGACATAATTTGACAAGTCCCATGTGCCTATAATTTCACTATTATGGCCACGTTATGAATTAACCAGGTGGGTAATTATCACCCTTCAAAATTCTCTACTCTCACGATGGGCACACCATCGATCTTGTTGATTTGCTTCATCGCGGTCTTGCACTTGATTGCGCCAGGTTTCCGCGTCGGCTTGCGTATCCATCACAGGTCCATGTCCCGGAAGGTGTTATTACTTTTGTCCCAGAATTAGCTTGGTTGAGCTTTGTGATATCCTAGGGTTCATGGCCGACGAAAACTTCTCTGGTTCTTACTTTTGCAAGCTCATCTGTATTGCCATTGAGAGCTCCGATAACAGTGATATAGGCGTCAGGGACCTGGGGCACAGCACAGCTAACTTACTACTTTGTTCTTCTCCGCAAGAGTATTTAGGACAGCCCCGCAGTTTTTAACCGACTTAAAAAAAAGGAGGATGTTCTCAATTCGACTATATTTTTTATTTTTTTGTAAGTATTTTACGCGATAACTCGGCGTTTGTAAACAGATTTTGATGATTCTTTTTTGTTGGAAAGAGGGCACCTCAGTATGGGTCCTATTTAAATTTTAAGAAAATATTCCACTTGTAAGGGTGACAAACTAGGGGATTGATCCGGTTTTGCGCACTTTCCGGTAACCGATTTCAATAAAACTTGGCAAATAGATGCAATTCCAAGAATTTTTGAGGTCGGTTTTTTCCTTAATGCTTGACTGAGTGAGTCGATAAAAAGTTTCTGATTCATGTCTTTCTCAGATTTCATTTCACACGAACTGTTATGGTAATACAAGTCTGGAAGATGGATCAGTGCCATCCCTAGTTCACTTTGCAGCTGAATCTGAGTCGCACGTCCATTATTAATGTAATAACATAAGACCAACACAATATTCAAAGTTAATATAATATATTGTTTATTTCTAGGTAAACATCACAGGAAAAAGAATAATATAGACAATATTGAAGAAGAAATGAAGAAGTTCACTATTAATGAGCCTGAGGAAGAGGAAAAACCTGTAAAAGTAAAGAAACCAACGAAAGTAAAGGTAAGCTTTGATGAAGAAGAAATGTATGTATCGAGTTCTTAGGTTTTCGCGATTGTTACACATAGGAAATGAAACTATTTTTCCGGATTTAAATTGCCATTGAGAGCTCTGATAACAGTGATATAGGCGTCGGGGACCCGGGACACGGCACTGTACTACTTACTGCTTTGTTCTTCTCCGCAAGAGTATTTAGGACAGCCTCGCAGTTTTTAACCGACTTAAAAAAAGGAGGAGGTTCTCAATTCGACTGCATTTTTTTGTAAGAATTTTACGCGATAACTCCGCGGCGTTTGTAAACCGATTTTGATTATTCTTTTTTTTGTTGGAAAGAGGGCACTTCAGTATGGGTCCCATTTAAATTTTAAGAAAATATTCCATTTGTAAGGGTGGCAAACTAGGGGATGGATCAACCGTGACCATGGGACCTGTAAAGGGCCCGAAACGTCGGTTTGCTTGAAAAAACAAATATACGCGATTTAAATCCGGAAAAATAGTTACATTTCCTAAGAAATGTATGTTTTATTATTTTTGCTTTTATTATTAGTGTACTGTTTGCATTATAGTAAATTTGAGCCGGTTTTATTGAGGAAGTTCTTTTGTAGCTAAATAATAAAATGATGTGCATGGCTAATGATGTTAACTATTTTTGTAAAGGATAAGAAGAAAACTGCTAATGAAGAAAGTGCAGAAGAAGGCGACCAATCTGACGATGAAGCTTCAAGGGAAGTAGATGATAAGGTAAGTTCTAAGAAAACAGGTTGATTTCCATAATTTTGCTATTGGTTTTTTCCCTTTCTTTTTCCATTTTTCACTGACTCAGTGTATAGGTTAAATAGATTTTTTAGCTACCACCTTAATCCTCACTCGGTTGTAAGTTTAGAATTAAAGCTGAAACACACAAGAGAGCGGGTACGGGTAGGGACCGCGGCGGGGCTAATTCCAAGTATTTATATGGGCGACAACACGCCGAGTGCGGGCGTGTGCGCCCGTTTCGCGCGTCTATTCCACTAAGTTCAACTGTGAGTTCAATCAGTCGAACTAATAGGACACAAATATTCCAATTAGTTCAACTAGGTACAACTTTCAAAGTTGAACTTATTGGACGAAATTAATCCTGTTAGCACACCCCGGACACTCCATACAAAGGTCGAAAGTTATTTACCTACTACTACTACTGCATATAGCAAATCGCTATCTGCACAAGCGCAAATGTGTGCGTGAAGTGGCTGGGTTACCAATCACTTTCTCGTACTATTACGGTACGTAGTCAAAGCGGCAACATAGCGAAAATTTTAACGCGAAACTGTTAAATCTTCGAAATCTTTAACTCTATTAATTAATTACACAATGTTCATAAACTGTTACCTTTAACTCTATTAATTAATTACACAATGTTCATTAGGTATTTATATCGATAAAATATATTTTTCATTAATTCACTAACTAGAATAATATTGAAGAAATGTATTAAAAGCACTTAAATGTTGTATTTTGGACAGGTACCTTTAAATAAGGTGACTTGTGAGATTTAAAATTGCGTGTCCAAGTTTGTCATTACCTAGTTAATAATTAGGTATATTCACTGCGTAATATTTCGGCAATACAAATTGAAAATTCGAAAACCCTTGTCTACTAGCTCACGAATTATAGCGTCTCAGACATAAGTTTTGTTACTAACTTCGTTTCAACAGTCACAAAACGAAAGAAACACCTCTCTTTGTCCCGTTTAGGTGATTATAAACAGCTGTACCCAGCACAATTTGCGACCATTATAAATAGTAACGTAAAATGGTGTTATGTATTAACGTACGAATTTCGGAATCAGTAAATTAAAACTATATTCAAATATCAAAGCCGTCTTAGCGCGAAAACGGCCCCCCGACAGCCTTGTTGTCGCTCACTCAATGTGACCGTCAATGTGCGTGGCGTGGTGCGGTATCTAAAGATAATGAGGGGCGGAGTGTCCGTTATCGTTACTTTTTTGTTCTCTGCTGTTAGTTCAATTTTCCAATTATTTAAATAATAGTTCAACGTATAACTGATAACGTATGTTAAGTTGAACATGTTGTTGTTGTTGTTGTTGATATTAAACAATGAATAAATATGTAATTAAATGGAATATAATGATATAGAATATATAGCAAAGTTTAAGCGATAACTGTAAATCCAGATTTTTATGCATGTATAAAACACCTCTAGCATTGTCATGCCCTACCAGTGGGACCATGCCCATAATGTTAACATTAACTTATCTCTTCTTACTATATCTAACTTATCTCGTCTTGATGAAAACGAAAAAGCACCACTCCCTTACATATTGAAATCATCTTTACAGGTGAACCAACTTCCAGATACTGAGAAATCAGAGCTCTCGGAGAAGAAGCTTAGTCACAAAGAGAAAAAGAAACTGAAGAAGCAGCAAGAGTATGAAAAGCAGGTGGAAATGTTGACCAAGAAAGGCGGGCAAGGACACAGTGATCTTGACGCTAATTTCACTGTCAGTCAGGCGCAGAAATCTGCTGGTAAGAAATGCAGTTACTCGTTACACCTCTATGGTACCGCATATGTAGCACTATGAGTATCACTTTATATGTGTATAAGAAGGTACAGTTCAAGGTACAGTACAATACAGTATTTTGAGGTAAGTACATTTTCTGTCAAAACGTCGAACGTGTTTAATTACAGGTGTTTAGTTAAGAACACACACAGTCTTAAACGAAGGCATTTACTTTGGGGGCATTATTTTTAAAATTTAAAAAGGCAATAATTTAGAAAGGTTAATATTATTGGTACAAAGTCGAACAACACAAAGAAAAATTTCTTCGATCTGACTGGACTCGAATCAGCATCTGTTGCCATACCGGGGCCGCCGCTCTTACCAACTGAGCTACTGATTGTGTCAACAGATCTTACGAATTTCGCCACGTGTTTGTTGGAAATCTTTCTTGGGTTGAAACGGCTTTTTTACCATCAGCTCCACCTGTGACAAACTCATGAAATCGATTTTTTAAAATTATTATTATTACTAATAATAAAGTAGTGGAGTATTATTTAGTATAATATAAATATTGTATTAATATTGTCCTACCAGAAATTGAACACGGGACTTTCGTCATCTAACGTCTGTCATTACTGCTGGGAGACTATGCCTGGTGTAGTTATCGATTAGAGATAGCGATGCGCGATTGCGAATGATTTCGATATTCGACTCGTTATTAGTTACTAATCTTGTCATTCAAATGACAAATTACTAACTAATTTTCATATTCGAATGATCTGAATGATCATTCACTACTAACCCATAGATTCCATAGAGTACAATGATACTCGTGATCACCTAGCCCCATCGAGTATATAACCAGAAATAGAGACGAAATGTCGTTTAATTTGTTTGAAACTATTCTGCTAAATCATTACAGTGACAACTGCGCTCCTATTGGCCAGCCCGATACAATTGTCGGGTGTTGTCAATTGTACTATAGGGTGGTGTCAACCGGTACTATCTCAATTTTGACAACTTTATAGGATGAAAAAAACATGTGTGCGTCATTTATATAGCATCTGGTTTATTAAATAAAAATACGTAGTTTCTAAATATTTTTATTACACATATTATTAAACAGTGGAATTATTTCGTCTCTATTTCTGGTTACATACTCGATGCCTAGCCCTCTCTGACATATAATAAATACCGTAAATGTAACGCGGACAGGTTTATTTTGATAAGGACATGGTGAATGATCTGGTCGAGTTCCGAGTATTTCCGACTTAATAATCATTCGACTGGTGCACCCGACCGAATGATCGAATGGTATCGGTCGAATAATTTGTGCTTGGATTCGACTTGGCGAATGATTTGCCCTTTCGAATGATTAGTATCAGTAACGTTCAAAGTCGCGCATCGCTAATTAATTGTAATTGACTAAACGACTCGGTTGTTGCAGTTCTTATAGTTTTTTTGTATTTAAAACTATGTAGTAAAAAATCTTTGTTAAGTAGTCTTTAGTATTCCAATTCAATTGTCAACTATATGCTCTCTCAACAAAGTCTATGTTTCAGGTCAAATGGCAGCTCTAGAAAATGCAGTAGATATTAAAGTAGAAAACTTTACAATTAGCGCTAAAGGCAAAGATTTATTTGTAAATGCCAATTTGCTCATAGCCAATGGCCGAAGATACGGTCTTGTAGGGCCAAATGGTCACGGAAAGACCACATTGTTAAGGCATTTGGCACAGAGGGCGTTCCCACTCCCTCCCCATATAGATATCCTATTGTGTGAACAGGAGGTAACAGCGAGCGATAAAAGTGCTGTTGAAACAATTTTGGAAGCTGATGTTAAAAGGACTGGTAAGCATTAAAACTTATTTTTATCAATTTGTTTGTGAAGGTAATTTTACTGTCTTGAATGCTTTGGTTAAGGCGAGTCACCATAGGAGAAGCGGAAAAAAGTTGCTAGGTTAAATGGTTTAGGTATTTACTATTAAATAACAGCCTTACAAAAAATATACGATACAGCTAAGGACATTGTCTAAGAATATTATGTTTATTTGTTACACGATAAGATGTAATTTACTCGGTCATAAAATTCTGAAAACAGGCTAAAATAAAAGTCTAAAACGAATCATTTAAGAATAAAATATCTTTGCACATTATTCTTATACGGAGATATTTCTCTTTGAGTAAGTACTACAGAAAACCTGCTAAATTGTGCTTTCCAACTGCGCTATAGTTGTTAAATTCATATTTATCCCAAAACTTCAAAATTGCCTAGCGGTTTAACGACACGCCAAGCTGCCCGCTGCCCCGTCAGTCGGCATCGCGCGATTGTCAACGTCGTATCAGTGTCAAATTTTCGTCGCCTGTTCTTATTTAGTCATATTAATTTTATGCGCGCGGATTGTGAGATGCGCGGGCGGCCCTCCACACTTCACCTCCTAAATTCTAGGTTCGTACAAATACTTCGCCTTAAAGAATTAATGTGTTTTGATTTCCGCCTAAGAATTATTCATAATTTATTTATTCATCGTGTCATGTGGATTAATAGAGGTGTTACATAATAGTATTCCAGCACATGAACCCTGTAAGGGTACTACAATGATAATAACTAACTAATTATTAATCTCTTATACAAGCTGTGTCATTAATTATTACAATTATTATGAAATTGATCAAAACTAATATAAAAATTTAGATCACAGTAATTAACATTATTATTATAATTAACATTATCATATTGGAGGATCGTAGTCTGCAATAGCATTAGGCCACAAATTCGCAACGGTCATACGGTTACGGGAGCGTTCAAGGTTTGCGCGTACATTGTATCTTGTTTTGGATGTACCCAAAATATAACGTGCACAAACGTGTGTCTTTTTTCTTTTTTTCGTGGCAGTAGAACTCCCCGTGAAAGAGTTCGTTCAGGGAAGTACTGCCACCTTACCTATTTCTGCCGCCAAGCAGTAATATCAGCATTGCGGCGTTCCGGTTTGAAGGCAAGGGATCTGGTGAAATTACAGGCACATGGGACTTGTCAACAAATGTCTCAGGGTGACAGGCACAGTGGCAGTGCTCTTCAGATCGTTGCACCTTAAAGCTCTGAGTGCCACTGCAATTGTTATAGATAGACGTGTAACTTACCATCATCAGACACAATGTACCTGCAAATTATGAACGCCCCGCTGAACACACCACCGTTCTGAATTTACGGCCTAATTGTTGTTTAAAGTTGAATGTAGACTTTGTTTGCTAGTGGCGGTGTATGATGTCGTAAATAGTTAGCCGACAGCACATTTGGCACATATGTCGTGCTGCAATTTTTATATTTATACCATGATGACTTAACTGTGTTTTCCTTTCAGAACTGCTAAAGGAATGTAAAGAGTTAGAAGCTGAAATAGAAAAGGGTAACATGAAAGTGCAGGAAAGATTGAACGAGGTTGGTATAGAAAAGTTTAGTTATAATATTGACTTTATCGAATATCATGATGATTTTATTACCATGGTATTTAGTTATTTTTTTGTGAAAATACTCCACTAGTTTGTTATTATTATTGATACGAAGATAGAACAACAGAAAAATATGACTGCATTGGAACCAGCATCTGTTGCCATACGGGGCAACCCCTACTAACCTGAACTACATACCGAGAGATCTTACGGCTTTCTTCGTGTGCTTGTTGCAGATCTTTGTATTGGATTTGTACGGTTTTTTTTTGCCGTCAGCGCCACCTGTGAGAAACATATGAGAGTTTCATTACATGACATTACATTAGTTAAATCTTCTAAGATGATAGAAGTACCTACTGCAGATTTTTTTAAATGACAGTCGAATGAACCTGAAGGTCTACCACGAAACATGATACTCATACGTACTATATGTCAGTTTTACGATAAAAGCAATATCAAAATTCGGTACGAAAGCTGTTATTTAACGTTTCGGAGTAAGGACATGTCAAATCATGACCTACGTACGCGTTTCGTGGTAGCCTCCGGTCCGATACGAAGCTAAAACAATGATCGTTGCTTCGTATATCGTATTAGACCTTCGTGGTAGACCTCCTGGTCCTCCGACTCGTATTTAGAAGTTGGTGTTTAAAACTTAGCCTTAAATCCTATTTTACACGAATAACAAAACTAAGTTCCGTCGATTTGGCATTGACTAACAGTGATTTTATGGTTTTATCGTAGGTGTATGCAGAATTAAAAGCGATAGGCGCAGATTCGGCAGAGCCGCGTGCGCGCCGAATTTTGGCCGGTCTTGGCTTCAACAAATCAATGCAAGATAGAGCTACAAAGAACTTCTCCGGTGGTTGGCGAATGAGAGTGTCGCTTGCTAGGTAAGAATTTGTTAACAAATAGGTTATTCTATAATAATAAACACAAGTTAATAAAAATGTAAGTAATTTAATTTGCTACTCCGTGAACCCAGTACTCTAACACCAGCGTCGAACAATCATCAACTTCCAAGGATGCCTCGTAGAGAGGCGAAACACGTGTCGGGTATATATTTGGTGGTGGTGCTTGTAACTTTTCTTATGTTTGTGTTATTTATTTTATTAGTTTAATGCGGATGAGAAAATTATCTGCATGAAAAAATTTCCAAGCGCAGCTATTTTGCACGATTTAACCTTTAGTGAATTCGCGGAGTAGCAAATTAATTTGCTTCCATTTTTTTAATTTCATAGATTTCCACAAAGTAATGACCGAATCTGTTAATTCTTGAATAAGGTATTTCACAAGTATATAAATAAACAGATTCATATGAAATTCACAGAAAAAGACATAGGCTATTTGTAAATATATATCAGGTGTCAAAAAGAAACGGCGATACTTGTGGCGTCACAGCCTTAATGGCGCCATACAAGTTCGCTAACTTCAACCATTAATATCTCTGGTTTCAGTTGAGATATCGAAAAACGAATTTCAGTTTAATTTTCATGATGTTCATGTGAGTTGTTTGATAATGGATCAGTTTGAATTTCATGCTGTATTCTAAACGCGAGCAAAGTTAGGTAATGAATTGATGTTTACTTTATTATCTTGTAGTCTAGTGATCTGGATAAAGGAGATGTTGTTATACTTAACCCCCCCCCCCACCAAAAAAAAAGAAACAAACCAAAAAAATAATTAATAAAATATACACACTCAGCTTTTAGGATTTATGGGAGCTGATATCCAATGTCTTTGCTAGGCACTGTTCTGTCTATCAGCTAGTGGCCTCCGTATGCTGTTGGGACTGTCCAGCATTCACCATTTTACTGACACTATTTTTACCCATTAAAGCATAAACAGTCAAACTTAGGCGACCCTAAGCGCACGCGGAACATGTCCATTATACGCATAGGTCGTTGAAAATCTTAGGTATGCCTACCCGCAAGCCGCTATAGTAAAACGGTTGGCAAAATGATTTGAACAAAACAGCAACAACTTTTACTTCATCCGTGCATTGAGTAATACTATAACGAAATTTTGAGTGCGGATTTGTCTATGTTGATGTAAAGGCTGAATAGGTTTGATTTCATAAATAATTTATTTTAATTTACGAGTGACCTTCGATGAACACTTCTAAGTAGTCGTTTAAACGAAAAGCACTAAAAAGTTTGCTTTTTAAAATAAGCATATAAGAACGTTTTTTTATTTTAAGCGTAAGCGTTGTTATGTATGTATTAATAATGTTATTGTTATTTGTATGTATATGTATATCTCCCTATGGATATGTGTATATTTTTATTATTACTTGTTATGTAGTGTACTTATGATGATATTCTTTGGTTGCACCCCTATTGCATATCCGAAATGTCTATCCTAAGGTTGCCTGGAAGAAATTGCTACATAGCAATAAGGCCGTCTGTTGCACATTGACTTACTACTACTATTATACTTAAGCTATTGTATTGTATTTTAATTGTAATTTTATGTGCAATAAAGAATATTTCATTCATTCATTCATTCATTGGTCGTTCGATACTCAACAATTTCATTTTTTACAACGTGCCTTAGTTTCAAGTCCCGCCATTTATGTTTCATAAACAAATTAATTCGTCAACGTGAATAATAATTTAATAAATATAAATAAAACTCGTGTTTTACAAATGAAGTTACTACTACTCTACTCTTGCTTTTCGCTATCAAGACAACGTTGCAAGCTTTTTTTAACATAAAAGTTTAAGCGCCTAAACGATTTCCTAAACGATTTTTTAAGCTTCAAACTAAAAAGCGTTTAAAAAAGCATGCTTTTTTAAGAAAGCTACAACGTTTAAACGTTTGTAAAAATAAACATTCATTTCTTTTAAAAATAAAACAGCTTTTCTCTACTTCTAATTAATTAGTCGACTAATTTGAAGAATGGCATACGTGGAGTTATGTCAAAAACGTTTATAGCTCCTATTGGAGCTACAGAAAATAATAAAAATAAAAGAATATTGGAGATACAGAAAAATATAACCCACATCCTCTCCAATTCTCATAACTCTATCGACTAATATTCTGGATAGAGTTACAAGAAGAGTCATTCTTCCATGAAGGGTATTGAGCTAGGCACCAAGGAAACAATTGGATATCACACTTACGTTGTAGTATTTATAGTCTGCAATGCTTCTTGACTTTCTTGTTACAGAGCGCTGTACGTAGAACCAACGCTGCTATTGCTCGACGAACCTACCAACCATTTAGATCTTAACGCTGTTATTTGGTTAGATAAGTAAGTATTGTAGTTCCATTATTGATGTAAACATCATAGCTTTTGCTCGCGACTTCGCTCCGCGAATACTTTGTAAGCTATTCTTTTTTCTTTTTTCTTTATTAACCCCGCACTAGGGAAGGGAAATCCTATATCGCGGGTGCCATGGACACACACATAGACAACTCAGACTCACGAGAGAAATAATTGTAGACCATACAAATATTTCTCCCGGTTCGATAATAGAACCCGGGACCTCTGACAGCATAATAACCGTATTGCCACGGAGGCATTCTGGGCCACAGTCTTTGTTTTTACGAAATTGATCCAGTTGTTTTTACGTCATTAATTAAGAAACATCCAAAAAAACTTCTTATTTTTTGAAATTAAAATTACTGAAGTTGAACGGTCCTATTTTTAATGTCTGTAGACATTAAAAATAGGACATTAACTCACTTCAGTACGATAAAACAGAAAACAGACGTGATCAGTTTTTTTTAGATGTTTCTCAATGTACCGTTTTGGTAGTCGGCAAGTGCCAATTAAGAAACGCTTCTGATCAAATGAATGCTACCCTTAGCCGCTTGATTATACGTATAGCTACGGGTAATTCAAGTCATTTTAATAATTAGTGCAAAACAAAAGTTAAAATAATTCATGTATTTCTCACCAGCTACCTCCAAGGCTGGAAGAAAACTCTCCTAGTAGTATCCCACGACCAGTCTTTCTTAGACAACGTATGCAACGAGATCATTCATTTAGACCAGCAAAAGTTGTTCTATTATAAGGGCAATTATTCGATGTTCAAGAAGATGCACGCGCAGAAGAAAAAGGAAATGATTAAGGAGTATGAGAAACAAGAGAAAAGATTGAAGGAAATGAAGGCACATGGGCAGTCCAAGAAAGCGGCTGTGAGTTTAAAATGTTTAGATATGATTTAACACATGACAGGCGTATAAAGTCAGGTACTCATTAGCAAGCTGTAACTGTAACGTGACAGATACAGTAACGAGGTTCTAGTGTGTAACAGACCCCAACTGCTGGAATGAGTACCTGGTTATCGTCGGCTCACTGCGAACCGCATGCATTCCGCTCAGGGCGCGCTCCCATTATGTCGTGACGACAGGTAGTCGTGTTTAATTTAATTTTTTTTAAACTATCAACGCACTCAATATAGCCCCGCACTAGGGAAACCCAGTGTCGCGGGTGCACCCAAACTCCTGAGAGAAATAAATGTAATCCATACAAATATTTCTCCCGGCTCAGGATTCGAACCTGAGACCTCTGCGTGGCAGTCCGGCGTGGTAACCTTCGGCTACAGAGGCAGTTTAAAGTGTCGTGGCTTGTATATTTCAATGAAGCTGTTCACATATTACAGTACAACACGATTAACTGTCACTCACGACGATTTTGTCTTTACGACGACAGATTGTCGTGACATTGGGAAGAGCTAGAACGACAGTCGTCAGACGATAAATAAAACTTCCTTCGCGTTTGGATACCATTTTCCACTTAACATCAGGTGGAGTGGAGTCATTTGCCTGTCATGTATAAAAAAAAAAAAAACATCACGATAAAAATGTGACGACAGACATTCGCAACTTCAAACGATTCTGTTGTGCAAACGACAAGGCAACTGCCGTGAACCGATAAATTGTCGACACGATCTAGTGGGAACGGCTAGACACAACAGTGGTTCAACGATAAAATAAACGTCCACGACACGGTCACGACAGATAGTCGTGATATGGGAACAGGCTAGACGCGACAGTGGTCCAACGATAAATAAAACGTTACGACATAATGGGAACGTTCCCTAACTGTAAGCTCGCGAACCACGTACACACTATGATTTTTGGTAACATAACACGCAACAGTTACGGTTACAGCTCGCTAGTGAATACCCGGCTTTATAAAAGCTTCCGCAGACTAAACGATCGGCCGGCTCTCGGGTTTTTTTTCTTTCTATTATTCACTTCTTTTTTTTTCTTATCATTAGTTACAACTAGTTTAGTTTGACTACGACTAAGTTTTACTGCTAAGTAGAGCTTCTTGTGAAAGAATTCATCCAGGGAAGTACTGCCACTTTATCTATTTCTACCGCCAAGCAGTAATGTGAGCATTATCATGTTTCCGTTTGAAAGGTAAAGGTGCTTGTGAAAATACAGGCACAGAGGATTTGTCAATTTATGTCTCAAGGTGACGGGCACAGTGGCAGTGCCCCTCACATCTTTGTGATTTAAAAATCTGAGTGGCACTGGAACTGCTATGGACATGGACAGGCGTGTCGCTTACCATCAGTCGCACTTGGTATCATAAAGAAATACAAAGAAAGTTTTTTTTTATTTAGAAAACGAATTTTTGAACTAAAATAATTATTAAATATCTTGTCAAGTGTCACCGCGGTAGTAATTATAAGATTTAAGTAGCCAGTACTTTTGCCAATGATAAGTGCTAGCGTCGGGAACGCGGCGGGTGTAATTTATATGGACGACAACACACCGAGTGCGGGCGCGAGACGGGCGCGACCCGACCCGTTCCCAACCCGCACCCACTCTCTGTGTGTTTCCCGCTTTAAACTTAGGCAAGGTAAGTTTTTATAAATACGATGAACTTGTTTAGCTTGCCATTTTTGTTTAGTCGATGTCCAAGTTGGTTCTATAAATCTCAGCCTTACTTACGGACCTACCGTGGTCTGTGGTCTGCGGTTTTCGACATATAGGTCAACACTGCTGACCAATCATGCTTCCGTGGATTGTTAGCGGCAGATTACATTATTACAGATTATACGTGTTGCTAATCCGTATTGTCAAGTCACGGTGCAACTACTCTTCACTAGTTTTTTAAAATAATGTTTTTGAATTTAGACATTGTTGTTTTTTTAATAGGAAAAAAAACAAAAAGAAGCATTAACACGTAAACAAGAGAAGAACCGTAACAAATCGCAACGCGAGGATGAAGAAAGTGCAGCTCCCGTAACTTTGTTACAACGTCCTAAGGACTATATTGTCAAGTTTTCCTTCCCTGACCCGCCGCCTTTGCAACCTCCCATTCTTGGTTTACAAAGTAAGTTTGTGATGAGGTTTGTAATATGAGTGTACGACAAATAATATATTAGTAAAGTATAAAGAAAAGCGTAACTGTGCTATAGTTGAAAACTAATGTTAGGGGAATAATGATAAGTCTTTGATTTTCATCCACATAGTATTTAATCTACTCTTTTTTTTAACTCTCTATAATGTTTTCAAAAACCCCAAATTACGACCAGCATAAAGGCAAACTATTTTCTTAGAACAAATTTCTTATCTGTGAAAATGTTATTATTGCTTCATAATAACAACGAATTACATTCAAATTTCGAACATCTCTGAAAAACAAAACAATTTGATTGGACCTCAATTCTAATGTCAGTCGAGATCTTATACTATGGAAACTAAAGGACATGTTATATTGACGTATATAAATCCTTAGAGGATGGAAAAAAAATAAAAGAAAGGAGCTGCCCTAACTAAGGAATAAACGTGCACACCTAAACAAAAATTGAACGAACAAATGGCGTATTTCTTTAGTGTCGTACCATAATCTGTCGATAAGACATTATCGACATGCAGACATTTAATTGAAGTAGATAAATATTTCTTTTGGGAATATTTTAGGTTAAGTGGGAATATCCCGGAATGTCACATGCAATTTTGAATTTATTGTTTTTCAAACATACTCAAATATTACGAAAAGTTAATTTGCACAGAAAAAAATAATATTTGTAATTTGAGAGTATTTAAAAAAGAGAAAACTTTGAAATATAAATCCTTATACATTTCCAACCTCAAGATTCACTTTTTCATAGAGAAATTTTTAAACAGATTCCAAATAGTGTAAGCTTTTTTGTATTTATGCATTGGTATAGAATTAATACCAGTGACTGGTTTAAGTGAATCTTTAATACTTACATTTAATTTTGGAAAGTAGTAATATTGTCAATAATAATATTATTATCATACGTTTATTTGCTTAAAACATGGTATAACAGGAGATGTAACAAGAGACAGTGTTAGTATACACATGTTTGGCATATATTAAATAGCATGCAAATGTCTGATTATACAATGTCAATTGACTACTATTGGCCGAACGCCTTTGATTTGTGCAGGAAAATCGACACTTCTCTGAAGTGAGACAAGTAGTCACGAGCGACTGCAGGTAGTGACAAGCCACGTCAAACGAGCTCTATACACGTTAGCGCTCGCCTTCACTCGGTCAGCTAGGCGAGTGACACTGAACGATGGCAAGGCAAGGCAAGGCAAATAGGCTATCTATACGTTGGTATTGACCGTCATCCGGCAACGTTAGACCAACATGGTTTTTATATTGCTGGCTTTATAAAATAACAATTTTTAGTAGTTAGAGTTATCAGTGGAAAAAAATCGGAAACGAGTGGATAATTTTGTTTTCAGCAACTGAGAATGCCTAGTAAATGAGTCTTGTTTAATCTAAATTAAATATAAAATTATTTACCAATAAACCCATAATAAAATTAACATAATACAATTCGTCGCTGCAGCATTACGGGATGTGGCATTTGAAAAAACGAAGATCGACCGAATGTAACATTGTACAGGCACATGTTAATTTTCTGTCTATAAATCACACAAAAGCCCAAATATCTCATGTGATTAGACATATTTAAGTAGTTTATTCATGAATCTTGCCAAATTTTGCTTTGGTTTCTTCAGATTGCCTGTTAGTTTGTATATTTTGATGATTGTCGTTAACGATTATTTTGAGATAGTGTTGTTCATGGAAGCGTACATATTATCGATATTCTGTTATTAAAATAATTCACTACGAGGTTTTTATTATTTACTATTTCAAGTTTACCTACAAATCAAAAAAGAAAAAAGAATAGTTGGATTTTATAGGACTGCCGAACATAAACATTGAATCAAAAACCATCTTCATTTATTCGCTTCATTTTGAAGAGTCAAATTTTAACATAACTTTGAATGTAACTAGATTACACGATAATGCAATTCCATCATTAGGTTTATGAGAAATAATTTTATGTTTAAATTAGATTAAACACGACTCATTTACTAGGCATTCTCAGTTCTTGAAAACAAAATTATCCACTCGTTTCCGATTTTTTCCCACTGACAACTCTAACTACTAAAAATTTTTATTTTATAAAGCCAGCAATGCAAAGACCATGTTGGTCTAACGTTGCCGGGTGAAAGCCAATACCAACGTATAGACAGCCTATTTGCCGTGCCTTGCCTTGGCATTGTTCGGTGTCACTCGCCTAGCTGACCGAGTGAAGGCGAGCACTAACGTGTAAAGAGCTCGTTTGACGTGTCTTGTCAAAACTCGCAGTCCCTCGTGACTACTTGTCTCACTTTAAAGAAGTGTCGATTTTTCTGCACAAATCAGAGGCGTTCGGCCAATAGTAGTCAATTGACATTATATAATCAGACATTTGCATGCTACTTAATATATGCGAAACATGTTTATAGTAACACTGTCTCTTGTTACATCTCCTGTTATACCATGTTTTAAGCAAATAAACGTATGATAATAATATTATTACTGGTAATATTACTACTTTCATATATTTCCAAAATTAAATTTTAATATTTAAAGATTCACTTAAATCAGTTACTGGCATTAATTCTATACCAATGCATAAATACAAAAAAGCTTACACTATTTGGAATCTGTTTAAAAATTTCTCTATGAAAAAATGAATGTTGAGGTTGGAAATGTATAGGATTTATGTTTAAAATTTTTCTTTTTTATATACTCCCAAATTACAAATATATTTTTTTTATGTGCAAATTCACTTTTCGTAATATTTGAGTATTTGTTAACGCAAAACAATAATTTCAAAATTTCATGTGACATTCCCGGATATTCCCATATAACCTAAAATATTCCCAAATGGCACATTGATCTACTTTAATTAAATGTTTGCATGTCGTGTCGATAATGACTTATCGATGGATTATGGTACGACACTAAAGAAATCCGCCATTTGTTCGTGCAATTTTTGTTTAGGTATGCACGTTTATTCCGTAGTTAGGGCAGCTCCGTTTTTTATTTTTTTTCATCCTCTACGTTGTATGTATTTGATGCGCTTAGACGTTGAAAACATAAACATTTTATTGTTTTTGTTTAACTACTGCGTGCCGTCGTAAGCCAAAACAGATAGCACTGCATTGATTTATGTAAAACACGATAATTGAAAATACGATACGTCATCTTAAATGCCAACTGTCCCCAATTTACCATTTTTGGAGTTCTCTTGACATCGGTATCCGGTTGTCAAAGGGAAGTACGTCAAATGTCAAAACCAATTTTTGGCCAAATGTTTTTTGAATTATTCGCATGAATTGTAATGAAATGAACAAAAATATTGAGTGAGTGAGAACAATGAAGTATTGATTAAAATGCGGCGCTGCAGCATTTTAATTACACCCCTTAGTGCGGCAGTAGAAAATCGGAAATCTACCGAATGTTACATTACACCGTTATTTTTCAATCATTCAATAGCCCAAATATCTCATGTAATTAGACTCATTTAAGTAGTTTGTTCATAAGTCTTGCCGAATTTTGCATTGGTTACTTTAGATTGCCTGTTTGTTAGTATATTTTGATGATTGTTGATAATGATTATTTTGAGATAGTGTTTTTCTAGAAAGCAGACATATTGTCGATATTCTGTTACTAAAACAATTCACTAGGAGGTTTTTATTATTACATTATTATTATTTTTGAAGTTTACCTACAAATGAAAAAAGAAAGAAAGAATGGTTGGAAATTATAGGACTGCCGAACATAAACATTGGATCAAATATCCTCTTCGTTTGTTCGCTCTATTTTGAAGTCAAATTTTAATGGAACTTTGAATGTAACTATTACTAACTTACATTTATTGGTAAATAACTTTATGTTTAATTTTGATTAAAATGGCTAGTTACTTGCCTAGTAATAATAGCCTAGTATTAATCATACTTTGATTACAGTAAACTACACAAATTTGCAAACATAAAAAACAGTTTCAACATTCAAGCCATACATTTGCGTGTCGATATTGACTTATCTATGATTATGGTACAATACTAAATCCGCCATTTTTGGTGGACATTTTTGGTTTAGGTAGGGACGTTCATTCCGTAGACAGGGCATCTCCTTTCCTTTATTTTTTTCCATTCTCTAATGTCGAAATGAAGGTCAATAGCATACAATTTTGACAATTTCACACGTTATTTGATATCGAACGATATGATAGTTGGGGCCGATTCTAGTTTGTCTGTGAATTAAAAATAAAGACTACGGTTGTGTGACATTCGTGAGAAAAGTGTTTATTTGCCGCCATTTCGCCAGTCGTAACATGCGGTTCCTGAACACATAACAGAGAGCTTATAATATGTGTGTAGATAAAGCAGTGTATGTAACGCACATAATTAGGCATTAAAACACCCGTGAGATGTTTTTATGAAACCCTCACTCGTATTTTAATGCATTATGTAACATAAACTATTATTATGCAACCGTTGCATAATGAGGGTTCTTAAAGTCTAGTACCGGCCTCAGTAATAGGTACAAGATTTTAAGACCTAATTGTATAATGATTGCATTCAATCCATTTGCTACGAGTAAATAAAATAATGAAACAACCTACATTTAATGTATGTTTTGTTAACAATCAATGACAACAAATTAATGAAAAAAACAAACGCTACAAAACAAAAGAATCAAAGACATAGAATGGAGTGGCCAAGTACCGTTATAATTTTATCCAATATGTTTTTTTTATAAAGGTTTATGGCACGGTAGCAAGACATTAAGGCAAATTTAACTAATCAGAAGACAGTAGAGCGTTTGAGTAACGTCATATTTGGTATTTTAATTAGCAATAATACGACGTTCTTTTTTTGAAATTAATTATTGTTTTGCATCGAGTATATAACCAGAAATAGAGATGAAATGTCATATGATTTCTCTATTTATATATATATCATTACTGTGACAACTGCGCTCCGATTGGCTAGCCTGAGTTCGAAACAATTGACGGGTGTCGTCAATGGGTGTCGTCAATTGTTTCACTTAAAATTGACCAGTTAACTTGAGCTTTGCTATAATGGACGAAAATTGCAAAATTACATGTTTAATATTTAATTACCGATGAAATGTGATTCCGTTTGTTTTGTAATTAGATGTTTTGCTGTTTTTCCCACACCCGAATAGAACAGCAAGGCATTGTTAGAGATATTATCCTTATTACAATAAATACAGAATATTTTTTGGAATACACGGAGACGTACACACAGGTCAGATGTTGGCCTGTCTATATTCCAGTGCAAACGAGAGTTGATATTTATGAGAGCTGTATCGCTAATGTGTTACCAGGAATATATGGCCCTTATTTCGTCTCTATTTCTGATTATATACTCGTTGTTTTGTGTCAGAACTGTAACTAAATTTTTCAATTCAATAGCGAGTACCTTAAACAATAGAATTTTGATTCAGAACTAATAAGATCGCCTTCGTGATATGGTTTGTGACATTATTATTATTTTTATTTATTTATTTAAACTTTATTGCACACAAAATAGTAAAAATGGCGTACTTAATGCCATTGGACATTCTCTACCAGTTAACCGGATTTTAATTATAATTGACAGATTTTTTTTGTACATCTCATTTTTTATTCATGAATGCAGTGACTTACATTAAGTAAAATAATAAAATATATATGGTTATGTTGGCTAAGAAGCCAGGCTAATTACGTCATGATTATTCCTTTCATTCTAGTAATCGTGTAAAATAAATTTTTATGTGTTTTTCCATAGATTTAGCAAGTTAAATGAAACGTTTTGTCAAGTTATATTAATAGAAAAGTATTCAATATGTTCACGTCAATATTTGACCCTAGTCTACTTGTATTGTAATTTTCTAGATGTGGACTTCGCCTATCCAGGCCAAAAGCCTCTATTCAAAGGCGTTGACTTCGGCATTGACCTCAACTCTCGCGTGGCAATCGTCGGCCCCAACGGAGTAGGCAAGTCTACGTTCCTCAAACTGCTAGTGGGAGAACTCAGCCCCGTTCGGGGTGAACTTATTATGAATCATAGATTGGTAATTTATTTTTGTCTATTTTACTTTATTTAAAGCCTGTATTCTTTTAATTTAATTTTATTTAAATATCTATCTATTTAGCAATTATTACCACTTGCACACTTTATTACCAGTTTGGTGATCGCAGTACTACAACCGGTTGTGTCAGATATTGTCGTCGCTTGTAGATATTTTCTTCCTTCGGCCGTACTCTTCCACTCGAGGTCCGCCCTTATGAAAGCTAGGAGGCCGCTGCCCACTGCCAGGGCCTAGTACTTATTTGATGGCGGTGCTAACGTCGTTGGATGGATGACATTAAAATTTTCTCGGGCTGCAACTGGATGCGTGTGGCACGGGAGCGACGTAAATGGAGAGATATAAAAAATATAATTGTTTATTGAATAACTTATTGCACAAATGAATAACTAAAGTCTAATTATGCGAATAAATGTAAAATATAACACATATACCTGGACTAGGAGAATCCTGTATTTCAGGTGAAAAGTACTAATTATACAGGTGAATAGGTGATTAAATTATAAACAAAAAAATAATTAAACAATAAAATGCAAATCATATACGTATATGCTTAAATTAGACAACATAATATGGAGGAGGCCTATACATGAAGACGGATGGAGTAGTCTGTTTGATGATGATGATGATGAACGCCTGTATAAGGTCTTGAAGGTCTTTGCTTACTTTGACCACAGAAACGTGTGACATATTTGAATAATAAACAAAATATAATGGTTGGAGTTGGAAGAGTACGTTCTCAATTAATACAAATGTTTGTCTCCCGCGCCCCTCTCACCACTGCACGGCGATTAGTCCCGGGTGTTCCACTCATCTTATAGATGACAGGAAGACCTACCCAAGAACTTTTGCGTTTCTTGTGTTTCTTTGATGCATATTATAATACAGATTATTAGATGAAATGTAACGTGTGGTTATTACAGTGAATTTGTTTTCCCCACAGAGAATAGGTCGCTTCGACCAGCATTCAGGCGAGCATCTCACAGCAGAAGAATCTCCAGTGGAATACTTACAAAGGTTGTTCGGTTTGCAATATGAGAAAGCGCGTAAAGCTCTTGGAACCTTCGGCCTTGCAAGCCACGCGCATACTATCAAGATGAAAGACCTCAGTGGAGGGCAAAAGGCCAGAGTGGCATTGGCTGAATTGACTAACATGGCGCCTGATGTTGTGATTCTGGTAAGAATATTTATTTATGAAAACTGAAAAACCTTTTTATAAATATAAAATTGACAACAGTTAAAAGTATCTTCTCTATATTGCTGCCTTATCATCTAATTAACTGCCTTCGTGACCGAACAGTTATCTTGTTGGACTGCCAACAGAGGTCTCGGGTTCGATTCCCGGGCTGGCAGAAATATTTGTATGGCCGGACATTTATTTCTCTCGTGAGTTTGGGTATAATTTGTGGTTGTCTAGAAGTATCCATGGCACCCGCGACACAGGGTTTCACTAATACGGGGCTATGAATGTATTATTATTATTATTATTATTAAAAATGCTGTTTAAAAAATAGGACTTATCTAGCGCATTACCCTGTCAGACTACAATATGACATTTATTGTTGCAATATTGAACTTATGCATTATACAAATATTTATTATACATTAGTAGTAATATTGTTCCTTGTGAAAGAGTTCGTCCTGGGAAGTTCTGTCGCCAAGCAGTAATGGAAGCATTACTGCGTTCCGATTTTGAAGGGTGAGGATGCAAGTGAAATTACAGGCACAAGGGATTTGTCAACTTATGTCTCAGGGTGACGGGCACAGTGGAAGTGCCCCTCAGATCTTTGTGATTTAAGGCTCTGAATGGCACTGCAATTGCTATGGACAGGCAAGTCGCTTCCCACCAGACGCATGACTTGTTAGGCCCGTCACTTAGTATTATATATCATTCATTCATAAAAAAATACATTGCCGTGCCCATCCAGGATGAGCCGACAAACAACTTAGACATCGAAAGTATAGACGCGCTTGCGGAAGCCATCAACGCGTACAAAGGCGGCGTGGTTATTGTATCCCACGACGAGAGGCTCATTCGTGAGACCGAATGCGCATTGTATGTCATTGAAGATCAAACTATCAACGAGGTGAGTGAAGAATATTTTATCGCTATAATTGCATATATACACTTCCTGTCCGATAGATGGCGCTATCGGTAACTTCAAACGATTTTTTCTGTAATGTGTTTTTCATGTAAAAGTCAATTCCTTTTTTCATCAACTGTACAACTGTACAATGGATATTCTAAAACTCAAAGAAAATATACGTCCAATTATCTGTAATTATAGTACAGATATATGGTGTTCCATACACTTATAAATGATAGTATGATAACTGTTAAGAATATTGTTTATACTGAATGTGTGTGTATTGATTGTGTGTGTGTATTGAGTGAATATTGATTTACAATTAATAATGATACATTTGATTGTAAAAATAAATTATAACTAACTGTTGAATGAATACGCATAACGTACTGTAAATAAACGCAATGTGCGGCATTGCACCGTACACATCCTACAATTTTAATGGTTCATTATGTAACATGCTGTCTCTATCTTTGCTTTGATATATTAAAGGATAAAGTTTATAGTGTTGTGTAGTGTTGTAATTATTAATACAAAGATCGAACATTCAGAAAAAATCCTTCAATCCGGCCGGATTCGAACCGACGTCTTCTAGCTACCGTGCCAGACGCTATACCAACTAAGCCACGGAACGAACCAGCGGAGCTCACGAATTTTTCTATGTGCTTGCGTCGTGTCTTTGTATTTGGTTTTTTGAACGACTTTTAGTCGTAGCGGCATCTATGAGAAATCTGTGAAAGATTTATGACCCAGTTAGTACCTTTACAGCTACCAGTCCTGGCGAGAGATGTCGCTGTTCACTGTATTTTAAATTTTTATTGAATTGATGTTCAATTATTTTTTGTGAAATCAGTCCACCAGTTTGATATAATTATTAATACAAGTCACGGCTACCGACGTCGGTTCTAATTCGGCCGGATCGAAGGAATTTTTTCTGAGTGTTCGATCTTTGTATTAATAATTATAACAAAGTGGTGGAGTGATTTCTCAAAAAATAATTGAATATCAATTCAATAAAAATTTTAAATACAGTGAATAGTGACATCTCTCGCCATCACTGGTAGCTGTAAAGGTACTAACTGGGTGATAAATCTGTCATAGATTTCTCATAGATGGCGCTACGACTAAAAAGTCGTTGAAAAAACCAAATACAAAGACACGACGCAAGCACATAGAAAAATTCGTGAGGTCCGCTGGTTCGTTCCGTGGCTTAGTTGGTACAGCGTCTGGAACGGTTAACTAGAAGACGTCGGTTCGAATCCGGCCGGATCGAAGGAATTTTTTGAAAAAAATAATTGAATATCAATTCAATAAAAATTTAAAATAGTGTTGTAGTTAATGACACATTATATTTAAAGATCGTTTTTGCAATTCGTTCATGTTTTATATCACCCTTTTTATAAAACCTTATAGCATATACTCATTTTAACTTTCACGTTACGTTATGTTAACATATCAAACCAGGAATAAATGCGATTGAACAATTCAATAGCTATTTTCACACCTACCTATCGGAGTATGACGTTTCGACCAGGTTGCACTGGTCGTGTTCACGGGCTGATTGGTGATGCCATGTTACGTCTCCGTCTCGACGGTCGAATCTTCATACACCTCCCCTTTATTTACTTATAAGAAGATGGTTGCTATATAATAAATTTTATCTCTTTAACAGTTGGAAGGAGATTTCGACGACTACAGAAAAGAACTTCTGGAAAGTCTGGGAGAGACCATTAACTCACCATCCATCATTGCTAACGCTGCTGTGCAGCAATAGACCTGTGTACCACGGTATTTATCCGGATTGTATTGTCGTATATAGTGTCGTCAAATTTCTGGTAAAGGACCGATTCGTGAAAATTTTCTATATGCACAAAAAACGGTGCACATTTTTTTTAAATTCACTAATAATGCACACTATACGACTGCGTACTGCCTTCTGTTTGTCCTATCAAAATAAATTCTAGTACAAACTACCAATGTTTATATTACTTAATGTTACTTCAAATATTTTTAGTAGTTAGACCATATGTTTAGGTACTTAACTAAATGTAAACAATCTTGGGATGTCTATTTAATGAAATATACATTCATCAACATCATCAACCTGTCGTAGTCCACTGCTGGACATAGGCCTTCCCCAATTTGCGCCATTTCGCCCGTGCCTCAGCTTGTCGCATCCATTTTCCGTTAGCAACCTTTCGCAGGTCGTCGCTCCACCTGGCCGGAAGGCGTCCTACACTACGTTTGCCGAGTCGCGATCTCCACTCTAGAACTCGTTTTCCCCATCGGTTATCGGTTCTTCGACAGATATGGCCAGCCTACTACCACTTCAGCTTGCTTATTGCACGATCTAAGTCGGTGACCTTGGTTCTCTGTCGGATGACCTCATTACCAATTTTATCATTCAGAGAAACTCCGAGCACAGTGGCTTTAAATTGGTGGACTAGCTGTATCGCGATTGTCTACGTCAAATCACGAAACATACATTTGTAAAATGATTTTTACTTACTTTCAAATACAAAATACAAATATTTAGCTTCTTATGAAATTTTATACCTATTGATTTGTAAAGCATATGTTTCATGTAAAAAGATGTAACAAGATTGTTTACATTTAGTTAAGTACTTAAACAAATGGACTATAGTCTATGTGAAACGGACCTTATCCAACAGAATGGTATTTTGAAATTGTTATATACAAGTAAGATAAATATTTTTAATAATACTTGTTTATAAAACGTTTGTATCGTTGAGTATTTTTACGAATCGAAGTCTTTAAAGAAATTGATAAATCTTGGTTATTTAGAAATAATTCAACGAATTTTAAAAATTACATTTTCACTAGTTTCTTTCTGTAATAAAATCGCCTAAAAATCTTGACTCATAATTTCGTTCCTCTCTTCTGTTACGAATAAATAGACAAGTTCTTTAAGGAAATATACATATTTGTTAATCTTTATTTATTTAGGGGCTTTGCTCGTCATTGAACATAGGAAATATATTTCAATTCAGCACTTCATATCATGTTGTCATCTGTCAATCTCATTTTTCTGTGGCTCGTGTCAAGTAATTCTATCAATGAATAATCATCCCATCGAGTATATATGATATACTCCCTTTGTGCATGTGCTGTGTAAATTTATATTTAAAAACATGGTTCTGTAGTCTGTGTAGGTTCTCTGTCGTTGTCTTAAGCTCAACTTACACTCACGGAATATCGATAATATGTTAGCTTACAAGAACAAGACTATCTCAAAATAATCGTTATCAACAATCATCAAAATATACTAATAAACAGGCAATTTAAAGTAACCAAAGCAAAATTCGGCAAGACTTATGAATAAACTACTTAAATGAGTCTAATTACATGAGATATTTGGGCTATTGTATGATTTATAGGCAGAAAAATAACACATGCCGTGTAATGTAACATTCGGTTGTATTCAGCTTTTTCTACTGGCGCACCCCTTAATGCTGCAACGATGCATTTTTACCAATACTCAATTGTTCTCACTGTCAATGTTTTCATTGACAACAATGACAATGTTCCCATTTCATTACAATTCATGCGAATAGTTCACTAAAATTGGTTTTGACATTTGATGTACTTCCCTTTGACAACCGAATACGGCTATCAAAGGGTACTACAAAAATGGCAAAATCAGTACAGTTGACATTTAAGGTGACGTTACGTATTTTCGATTCCCGTGTTTGACACAAATCAATGTAACGCTATCTCTTTTAGCTTACGACGGCACGCAGTAGTTAAACAAAGACTATAAAATCTTAAATGGCAATTGTGTTCATTTCGCAGTACATGAGGTACATGATACGGTTGTCAAAGGGAAATACATCCAATGTCAAAACAAATGTTTTTCCAAGTGTTTTATTGAATTATTTGCATGGATAGTAATAAAATGGACAAAAATATTGACAGTGAGAACAATTAGGTATTAATAAAAATGCGTTTTTATTATTATTTTTATTATTTCAAGTTTACCTACAAATGAAAAAGAAAAAAGAATGGTTGGAAATCATAGGAGTGCCGAATATAAACATTGGATCAAAGGCCATCTTCATTTATTCTTTTCATTTTGAAGAGTCAAATTTCAACAGAACTTTGAATGTAACTAGATTACATGATAATGCAATTCCATCATTAGGTTTATTGGTAAATAATTTTATATTTAGTTTAGATTCAACAAGACTCATTTACTAGGCATTCTCAGTTCCTGAAAATAGAATTATCCACTCGTTTCCGATTTTTTCCCACTGGCTGACAACTGTAATACTAAAAATTCTGTCTTTTAAAGCCAGCAATACAATGATATGTTTATCCAACGTTGCCGGGTGAAGGCCAATACCAACTATACATAGCCTATTTGTCTTGTCTTGTCATCGTTCGGTGTCACTCTAACTGCCTAGCTGACCGAGTGAAGGCGAGCGCCAACGTGTATAGAGCTCATTTGGCGCTTATCACAAATCAAAGGCGTTCGGCCAATAGTGTACACACGCTTGTTCGTGCGCATACGAAATGCATACTGGTTTTTTAATGCAATTAAAAAAAATTGCCACAATTAACACAAAACAAAGAAAGTACATATAAATTAACAAAATGTCATCTTGTTCTATTTCTGCGAATAATCAGGATCGATTATTCGTAGAAACAGAACAAGATATTCCCAAATGGAATATTGATCTACTTTAATCAAACGTTTTAATCATACTTTGATTACAGTAAACTAAAGAAACAAAAAAAAAACAGTCAACATTCAAGCGATACATTTGCATATCGATAATGATTTATCGATAGATTATGATACAACACTAAAGAAATCCGCTATTTGTAGCGTTCAATTTTTATTTAGATATGCACGTTCATTTTGTAATTAAGGCAGCTCCTTGCCTTTATTTTTGTCCATCCTATAAGAGATTTGTAGATTCTCCTCTCAGTGTCGAAATGCACTGGTCGATTTTTGAGTAAAAACGCATGGGGACCATAACATTTAAAAGAAAAAGAAGAAAAAGAATTATAGTCATTCTATAGTAAATAATAATAATGTGCTAGAAAATCACACCAATTACCTAGTCTCAAAGTGAAGAATTGTACAGACTGCAGCACATCAAGCTACACATTGACTGTTCGTGTTCCGTTTCACTGGCGGCGACTATTCGAACAAAAGTGTATAGCTTGATGTGCTGTTCAAAGTCAAAGATTATTTATTCCATAGGTAAAATAAATTTACACTTGAAAACGTCACATTTAAGCTACTGCTCGTTCACTACGCTGACCTCCCTGAGAAGAACGAGCAAGAAACTCTAGGGATTGCTCTTTTCAAATAAACTTAAATGCTATGGAATACACTTTGAATCAAATTTGTGTGGATTCTTGAGCCATGTCGTCTTTCCATACATCTGTATCTAACACGTAGTATTCAATTTTGTAATATGATTTTTCGGTCAAAATATTTTTAATGTAGTTTTTAAACTTAGGAAATGATAAACTTAATATATGCTCCGGAATCTTATTGTAAAAACGTATACAGTTCCCCATAAAGGAGTTGTTTACCTTGGTTAAACGAAATCGTGGTACCCGTGGGATATCTTCTTACTTATTGAAATTATGTATATTTTTACGGGCATATAAAATATTTGAGTAAATGTACTGTGATGCCACAGCCATGGTACCCGTCTCCTTAAACTTTCCTTTGAGAGAAACCCGAGAGCCTAGACGGTACACAGAACGAATCGCTCGTTTTTGCAATACAAATATGGTTTGATTATCTGTCGCTTTACCCCACATGAGAATCCCGTAGGACATTATACTATGGAAGTAACTAAACTAGTCTAGCAGTACTAACATCGGTAAGCTCACGTATGCTGCGTATGCAGCGGAGCTTAATCTGCTGGCCAGGGAAGATATATGTGGAAACCATTGAAGTTTAGTATCTAAGGTCACTCCCAAGAAGACTGCTTTATTAACAAAGTCTTGTTGACTGTACTGTGAGTACCAGAGCAACGGAATTTACACTGGGGCACTACCCAAAGCGCCCGAACCACAACTAATTTAGGAAAGTTCATTTTACAAATTGTTTCTACCGGGAATAGAATCTCCTATCCGTTGGGTCACCGATGGCATCAAAGATATAAAAAAGGTATAGTTACAACGATTAGTGTTAATAATGTGCCAGACAATAACACCAATTATCTGGTCCCAAATTAGGGAATTCCCTATTTCACGAGTTCTAGAGTAACGGCATTCACTCCGGGGTAAGTGCCCCAGAACACACAGACCATAACCAATATACATAGAACAGTTCATTTCTCTAATTGATCCTATCTCCTCATTCACCACAGACAGTGAAAACCGTTGAGCTAGTGCCGAATGTTTGCTTTTGAAAGCTGGGTAAAATATATATGATGATTTAAATCATTTATTTCTCACACACATTAATTACGTTGTATAGAAAACAAGATTATATAAAAAATATAAACAAATATTAAATTATTTGTGTATTTTACTCGATTACGATAAAAATGTCAACTAACGCACCCCTCGTGGAAGAATGGCATAAGTTGAGTTATGTCAAAAACGTTTAGTGCTTCATTAAATACAGAAAAATACAACCTACATCCTCTCCAATTCTTGTAACTCATCGACTAATATTATAGATAGAGTTACAAGAATACGAGAGAATGTGGATTATATTTTTCTGTATATTATGGAGCAATAAACATGTATGACGTAACTCCACTTATGCCATTCTTTCATGAGGGGAACATATGAGGAATGGAACGATATGATGCCATATGATATCGTTTGGTGACGCTTTGGTTGAAACCGAAACAGATTAGCGGGCAGTTACCATGTTTTGAGTCGAGGCGTAGGGTGAAATGGTGTATGTAACCTACAAAAATATTACAGGCTAATATTCAGTACAGTACGGATATACAGGATAATATTCAGCTCCGTTTTTTGTACCTAATTTCAGTGGCAATTTCTATTATTTCAAGATTCTAGAATCTTGTCATGAAGAATTATTTAATATTCGAGTGTAGTAGCCTGAAATATTATTATTTAATATTTCACAATAATATACTCAAATAATAAAAATTGCCACCGAAATTAGTAGACAAAACTAACGTGAAAATTATCCTGCAATGATTGTTCAATAGGTTTTTTTTTTCACTTTCGGCACTTTTTGCGTGTAACGTGAATATATATTTTAATTTCTTTCTATTTTCCATCATATAATAAATCTACAATACTAGTAGAAACATGTATATTATACATGTTCACAAAAGTGCCTGAATTTGTGTAAATAAAATATCAATTATATATTTCAATCAGTATGTATTAGGAATTATTATTGTCAGCTTGTAATTTATTAAAGTAAATATATATGTGTTGTTTACAAAACCTTATTTTATTACAAACTTCTGTTTATAATGTCTCATTCAGTCTACGCTATTTATTCGTAATTAATATAAATAGTGTACACGCTTAAAATTTCCATTATATTATTATTGATATAAAGATTGAGCAACATAAATATAATTTCTTTCGGTTGACTGGACTCAAACAAGCATCTGTTAC